TGGTTAAGCATCTGCCTTTGTCTTAGGGTGTGATTCCAAGGTCCCAGGATTGAATCCTGCATCAGGCTCCCCAGAGGAAGCCTGCTTCTCCCTCTGCCTATGTCTCTGCCTATCTCTCTGTCTCTCTCATGAATAAATACATAAAATCTTAAAATCGAAACAATGGTATCCCAGTGGCAATGAACATACCCAGTGCTAGATCTTCATTTCTAAATATCATTTTCCACTTAAAGGAACCAGGGCTCCTTGGAAAAAATGACTAATTTAGGGCTGGGATTGGTAAAGTACAAGATGAGCCTGGAATACCTTGCTACAGAATGTTTAAAGAATGACAAGAACATGTCCAAAGGATACAGGAGTCACCTGGCATGGCCAAAACTAGGACAATGCAAGCATCGAAATAATAATAGCAGCAAAAAGAACTTTAACTCACTGAACAAAATAAGAATTCATGAGTCCACACTGATATAAATAAACAGAGCAGAGAACTCCTCCTTTCCTTAATATGTAGAAGGAGTAATAGAAGAACCACCATTTGGCAACCACAACAGTAATCGCTTGTTTCAGGAAAGACTCTTCAGTGGATGGTACAGCTAGTGGGTAAAAGTTGATGAGAAGAAGGTGATTTACAAAGTCCTGAAATATCCCCTAATACTTAATAATTCCAAATGGGGAGACAGAACTTTACAGTGGAGACACTTGGCAGACACTACCTTAGCCAAGAGATCAGAGTCAATACCACAAAGCTGGCATGTGCCTCCTGATAAGAGGTGCTAAGAAGGCCTCAGCTTCTTTCTGCAGTATTTCTGTATATTCTAAGAATCTGAATCTGACTCTGCAAAACACAGACCCAAACTGAAGAATGCTCTACAACAGTGCTGTCCAACAGAACTTTCTGCAATGCCGGAAGTGTTCTCTATATCTGCACCGACCGAAGGGACAGCCACAGCCACATGGAACCACTGAAAGAATGATAAAGCATATATTGTTAAATGTTAAGACTTAGAATTGAGAGGCACCTGGGTGGCTCAGTCAGTTAAGCATCTGACTTCGGCTCAGATCATGATCTCAGGGTCCTAGGATCGAGCCCCAAGTGGCTCCCTGCTTAGCTGGGCATCTGCTTGTCCTTCTCCCTCTGCCCACTGGCCCCCCAACGAGTGTGTGTGTGTGTGTGTCAAATAAAATCTTAAAAAAAAAAAAAGAATTAGACTCAGGATGAAAGGTATATATGGAAAGTTCATTTTACTTTTTTTTTTTAAAGATTTTATTTATTTATTCATCAGAGAGAGAGAAAGAGAGAGAGAGAGAGAGAGAGAGGCAGAGACACAAGCAGAGGGAGAAACAGGCTCCATCCCAGGTCTCCAGGATCACATCCTGGGCTGAAGGCGGCGCTAAACTGCTGAGCCACCAGGGCTGCCCTGTATTACTTTTTTTTTAAAAAATATTTTATTTATTCCTGAGAGACACAGAGAGAGAGGCAGAGACATAGGCAGAGGGAGAAGCAGGCTCCTCACAGGGAGCCCGAGGGAGGACTCAATCCCAGGACGCTGGGATCACGACCTGAGCCAAACGCAGAGGCTCAACCACTGAGCCACCCAGGTGCCCTGATATGGAAAGTTTTTATACAATTTTTGCAACTTTCTATAATTCTGATATTATGTCAAAGTAAAACATACAAAAAGTCTTAAAAATCAGGATCTCATCATGTACTCACACACAAAAAGTATACTGTTAATACACAAGAACAGAGTAACCAAACCATATGAAGTTCCAATCAAATATGACATACTGAACAGTGTTTATATCCATTCTCTCCTGACAGGAAAAAAAAAATCAGGCTTATTGATATGATTTGCTGAAAATGGTACTTTACTTCTGTGGTTTTCCTCCTAATACCCATAACTACAGTCTAAGCATGAGAAAAACATCAGATAAATCCCAAGGACATCCAACAAAATCCCTAACCATCCTCCTCAAAACTGTCTGGGTCATCAAAAACAAGGAAAATATCAGAACCTGTCATAGCCAAAAGAAGCCTAAGGAGACAGGATACCTAAATGTAATATGGGATCCTAGAACAGAAAAAATTAGGTAAAAGCAAAGGAAATCTTAAAAAGCTATAGAATTTACTTAATAATAATGTATCAATATTGGTTTATTAATTGTAGCAAACATACCATACTAATACAAGATGTAGACAAGGGAATTGTGCAGGTATGTGGGAACACTGCACCATGTTCTCAATTTTCCTGTAAATCTGAAACTGTTCTAAAAAATCTAATATATTTATTTTTATTTATTTTTTTAAATAGATTTTATTTATTTATTTATGAGAGACACAGAGAGAGAGAGGCAGAGACACAGGCAGAGGGAGAAGCAGGCTCCATGCAGGGAGCCTGACGTGGGACTCGATCCTGGGTCTCCAGGATCAGGCCTGGCTGAAGGCAGCGCTAAACCACTGAGCCACCTGGGCTGCCCCTAATATATTTTTTTAAAGTGTGACGGCAAACTATAAATGTTTTCAGATATGGAAGGCTTCAGAATTCATCTCCCACGTATTCTTTTTTTCAGGAGATATACTCTAGCAAAACAAAGAATTAAATCAAGAAAGAAGACACAAGATGCACACAAAACAAGAGATCCATGGGATGCCTAGGTGGCTCAATCTGATTGGTTGAGAGTCTCTTTTTTTTTTTTTTTTAAGATTTATTTATTTAGGGATCCCTGGGTGGCGCAGCAGTTTGACACCTGCCTTTGGCCTGGGGCGCGATCCTGGAGACCCGGGATCGAATCCCACGTCGGGCTCCCGGTGCATGGAGCCTGCTTCTCCCTCTGCCTGTGTCTCTGCCTCTCTGTCTCTCTCTGTGTGACTATCATGAATAAATAAATAAAATCTTTAAAAAAAAAAAGATTTATTTATTTATTTGTTCATGATAGAGAGAGAGAGAGAGAGAGAGAGAGAGAGAGAAAGGCAGAGACACAGGCAGAGGGAGAAGCAGGCTCCATGCAGGGAGCCCGACGTGGGACTCGATCCCGGGACTCCAGGATCGTGCCCTGGGCCAAAGGCAGGCGCTAAACCGCTGAGCCACCCAGGGATCCCCGAGAGTCTGACTCTTAATTTCGACCAAGGTCATGATCTTGGGGTATTGGGATCAAGCCCTTCATCTGATTCCGTGCTTAGTGCAGAATCTGCCTGTCCCTCTCCTTTTGCTCTTCCCTCTGCTCTCTCTTAAATAAATAAAAATAAAAATAAAAAGAGACAGAGATCCAACATAGGAAACAAGATCATTCCCAGGATGATGGTGAAGTCAAGTCTTAGACATCTGTGCATCAGACCACATAATGAAACAAAAGTATTTGGAGGTAGGAATAAGTGTTAAACATATGATACTAAGCAGGTTTTATAAAAAAGGCAATTATTAATTCCAAGAAAAATAAAAGCTGTTAGAAAAAGGAAATGTAATCACTGTACACTGCAGCTTAGCTCTGAACGATATTTACACAGACAATAATACTGAAATCTGATTTAATTGTAAATGATAATCCATCTCATTTCAAATCTAAGACATTACTGACTAGAAATCATGCCACTACTTTATTTACTATTACTACTAAAAGAGAAAAAAAGATGCTGCCAATTAAAATACGACACTATGGTATAAAGTTGTATACCAATTTCTCAGAGTTGTTAAAATGTAAAAGAATAGCTTCTCAGAATTAATATATTAATCACATTGAAAGGAGAGAGAGAAGTGTTTGTTTTGAGAGCAAATGGTGTAAGAAAGCTAAACTGTGACCTTCCTTGCACAGAAGTCAATATATGATATCTGAAATCAATGGAGAAAAAAAGAAACAGCAATATAAGTTTATTACACAGAAACATGAAGAAAAATGCTAGAAGAAACTGCTACAAGAGCTGACAGTAAGGGCTTCTAAAGTAGGAGACACCGGAGAAGACTGCTATTTTGTTGTTTTTCAAAGATTTATTTATTCATGAGAGACAGAGAGAGAGAGAGGCAGAGACATAGGCAGAGAGAGAAGCAGGCTCCTTGCAGGGAGCCCGATGATGTGGGACTCGATCCCGGGACTCCAGGATCACGCCCTGGGCTGAAGGCAGACACTCAACTGCTCAGCCACCCAGGCATCCTAAGACTGCAATTCTTCATTTAAGATTTGACTATTTAAACCATTTACATGTATTATCTTCATGAAAATAAATGTAAAAAAATCAAAGCAATAACAACAAAAGTCAAAGCAACAATAAATTAAAGCTATCAGGAAAAAAATCCAACAGCTGAAATACTTTCAGATTTTTTTTTTTATGTACCATGACAAAGAATATTAAGAAAAACCTGAGGAGGGCAGCCCCAGGGGCGCAGTGGTTTGGCACCACCTGCAGCCTGGAGGCGTGTGATCCTGGAGACCTGGGATCAAGTCCCACATCAGGCTCCCTGCATGGAGCCTGCTTCTCCCTCTGCCTGTGTCTCTGCCCCCCCCCCCCCTCTCTCTCTCTGTGTGTGTGTCTATGAATGAATAAATAAAATATTTAAAAATAAAAAACAAAAATAAATAAATATCTCCTAATTATTAAAAAAAAAAACTGAGGGGAAAAAAAATACAACTCAAATCCCAATGCAGTCTCAATGTTACATAAAATCCAAATTTTAAGTGACAGCAAAATTTAAAAAGTTCAATCAAACCTATTCTAAATCTGGTTCATTTTACCTATCCAGCCATACAGATGTTGATTTAAAATACCTCAAAAGTTGACCTGCTAGAGGCGGAAAGGTGTGGGAGTGACACCACAGCTCTGAAAGCTGACTTCCTGCTTCAAGGTAAGACTCAACTGACTCAATCAAGACAATATATATTTGTAGCTACAGCAAAGTTACATAAAACAAAAATAAAGTTGGAAAAAGTCATAATTGCTTGTAAGAGCATAACACCTAAAATTACTTTTAGCCTACGCTGTCATTACGTTTCCATTATTTGTCACTTACATCTTGAAACATTTTGTTTTCTTGTTTTAGTCTCGCTTCTTTATCATCTGAGAGTTTGTAAGCATTCTCAAATGCTTCTTCTAAATCCTGCAGTCGAGATTTTAGTCGAATGATGGTATTGTCTTTTTCTTTATTACTTGTTCTCATTTCCTCAATCCGTTCCTGCAAAATTTTGGAAGCACTGCTGGCTGCATTGAAGCGTTCTTTGAAATCACTCTACAAAATAAAAACAAAGATAATAAATTGTTTTAATAATAAAAAAAAACATGTTTTAGTAGCAGTTAACAAATTGTAGATATTAAACTGCAAAAGTAATCAAATAAAACCTACAAAAGGGAATCAACAAATTCAATATTTTGTTAAGTCTTGACATGAAGACTAAAAAGGATTACTCTACTAAAATAACAGCTTCAGGGATGCCTGGCTGGCTCAGGCGGTAGGTATGTGACTCTTCATCTTGGGGTTTTAAGTTTGAGCCCCACATTGGCTTACTTAAAAATAAAATCTTTAAAGTAAATAATTAGGGACGCCTGGGTGGCTCAGCGATTGAGGGTCTGCCTTTGGCTCAGGACATGATCCCGGAGTTCCGAGATCAAGTCCCGCACTGGGCTCCTGCACAGAGCCTGCTTCTCCTCCCTCTGCCTCTCAAAACACAGCTGGAATCTGTTGCCCCACATTAATATTTAGGGAAGAATAAAGCATTTCTTACCCTGTTCTCTCACTAGGAAAACAAAAGACAAAATTCAAAACACATCTGATATGTTAGCATTCATTCAATAATCATTTCTTGAATATCCACTAGGTGCCAGGCACTACAAACAAGACCCTGACTTCGAGAAGCTTTTGGTTTGGGGGACATAGACAACTAAAATTACATCAAAGAAAGACCAAGAGTGCACAGAATGTTAACTGGCATCTTCCATCAAAACATTACTTATAAGGTTATATGTAGAAGAATAAAACTTGATAATACATAAAAAAAGATTTTTTTTAAGTTTAAGCATTCCAGTTATACATCCAAGAAAATGAAAAACAGAAGTATGCATAAAATCTTGTATACAAATATTCATAGCATTATCATTCATAATCATAATGCCCAAAAACTCAAACTTCTATCATCCCTGATGAATGGATAAATATGGTATACCCAGGGTACCGGAATGGCTTAGTCAGTTATGTGTCTTGTCTTGCCTTCAGCTCAGAACATGATTTCAGAATCCTGGGATCAAGCCTTCATCAGGCTCCCTGCTCATCAAGGAATCTGCTTCTCCCTCTCCCATTCCCCCTGCTTGTGCTCTTTCTCAAATAAAATCTTAAAAATTAAATTTGGTCTATGCATAAAATGGAGTATTATACAGCCATAAAAATAATGAAATATCGATTCATGCCACAACATGTACAAAATTTGAAAAAAATATGCTAGGAATGCCTGAGTAGCTCAGTGGTTGAGCCTTTGGCTCAGGGCATGATCCTGGAGTTCTGGGATCGAGTTCCATATCAGGCTCCCTGCATGGAGCCTGCTTCTCCCTCTGCCTATGTCTCTGCCACTCTCTGTGTCTCTCATGAATGAATAAATAAAATCTTAAAAAAAAAAAAAAAAAAGGGCAGCCCCGGTGGCGCAGCGGTTTGGTGCCGCCTGCAGCCCGGGGTGTGATCCTGGAGACCTGGGATCGAGTCCCACATCGGGCTCCCTGCGTGGAGCCTGCTTCTCCCTCTGCCTGCCTCTCTCTGTGTCTATGGATAAATAAATAAAATCTTAAAAAAAAAAAAAAAGTCATGCTAAGTGAAAAGAAGCCAGACACACCAAAAGTCATTTATATGATTCCATTTACACCAATGTCCAGAATAGGCAAATCCAAAGAACAGAAAGTAGGGTAGTAGTTGCTAGGAGTTGGGGAGAGGGAGTTTTAAGAATTAGGAGGGAAAGGCTGATGGTTAAAGGGTTTAGGGCTTCTTTTTGAGTGAGAAAATATCTAAAACTGACTGTAGTGATGGTTGTTACTAGTATGCAAATATATTAAAAACCACAGAATCATATACTTCCAAAGAGTGAGTTTTATAATATGTAAACTATATCACAATAAAAAAATATGAATTTTAAAGTGCAAAAGTTTATCAAATCATATGAAGCCAGTTTAAATTCTTTTTTTTTTAAGATTTTATTTATTTATTCATGAGAGACACAGAGGGAGAGGCAGAGACACAGGCAGAGGGAGAAGCAGGCTCCCTGCAGGGAGCCTGATGTGGGACCTGATCCCAGGTCTCCAGGGTCACGCCCTGGGCTGAAGGCAGGCGCCAAACCGCTGAGCCATCCAGGGATCCCCGCCAGTTTATATTCAAAATAAAAACTTACTTAACAATGAGACAACCTAGGAAAAAAAAAAAAAAAAAAAAACAGAAACAAAAAAAAACTCACATACCCAATGTTTTTATAAAACTATTAACTTGTCTCTAAAGTTCAGTTAACAAAAAGGCTTCAATTTTTAACATTAAACCACTAAACAACAGGAGTACTTACAACTTCTATTTCCAGTAAGTTATTCTTATTTTCAAGTGTTCTCACACGACTAGTAGCTTCACTCAGAGCACTATCTAATTGGCCACATCTAAAAACCAAAAATTGAAATGAAAAAATTAGAAGATAAAATCCTTTCCCTTCAAAGAATTCTATAAATCTGATTCTTCAATATGTAGCATAAAACAAATTCTCCAATGTTAGTGAACACTCAGGATGTCATTTTAATAAATACATCCCCATAAACTTGATGATACTATTTTTCAGAAAAAAATATGAAAAGATAAGTGACAAAAGCAAAATATAAACAGACATTTGTAGACCCATGTTCATAGCAGCAATATGCACACTAGCCAACAGATGGAAGCAACCCAAGTGTCCAGAAGGATAAATGGATAAACTAATTGTGGTCTATCAATCCAATGTAGTAGTATTCACTCCTAAAAAAGATGAAATTCTGGGGCACCTGGGTGGCTCAATTGGTTAAGCATCAGATTTTTTATTTAGGTTCAGGTCATGATCTCAGGTTGGAGAGATCAAGCCCCTTATCGGGCACCGTGCTGGGCGCATGGAACCTGCTTGAGATTCTCTCTCCTACTCCCTCTTTAAAAAAAAAAAAAAAAAAAGGATGAAATTCTAACACCTGCTACAACATGGATGAACCTTGAGAGCAATGTGCTAAGTGAAAATAGGCAAGGCACAAAAGGACATGTATGATTCCACTTATATGAGGCCTACCACAAGTTCATATGAGGCATCAAATTCATAAACAGAAAGTAGGATGGTGGGAGACAGAGGCTGGGAGTCACCCAACTCTTCCTTTTGGCTCAGGTTGTGGTGTCAGGCTTGTGGGACTGGGCTCCATGCTTAAAACTCTCTCTCCCTCTGCCCCTCCCCCTTTCTCTATTTCTCTCTCAAATAAGTAAATAAATCTTTTTAAAAAGTTCTGGAGATGGATGGCAGCAATGGTTGTACAACAGCATGAATGTACTTAATGCTAGATAACTGAACTGATCACTTAAAAATGGTTAACATGGGGAGTAGAGCCAATTAAGTGTCTGACTCTTGGATCTGGTTCAGGTCATGATCTCAGGGTTGTTAGATCGAGCCCCATGTGAGGCTCCACACTCAGTGCAGAGTTTGCTTGGGATTCTCATGCTCTCTCCCTAAAAAATTAATAAAATCTTTAAAAAAAATGGTTAACATAGTATATTTTGTTCTTTATATTTTACATTAAAAATTAAATTTAAAAAAAAATTAAATTTAGAGGGACACCTCGGTGGCTCAGTGGTTGAGTGTCTACCTTTGGCTCGGGGCGTGATCCAAGGTCCTGGGATTGAGTTCTGCATTGGGTTCCCTGTGGGGAGCCTGCTTCTCTTTCTGCCTATGTCTCTGCCTCTCTCTGTGTTTATGTGTCTCTCATGAATAAATGAATAAAATCTTTTTTAAAAATTAAATTTAGGGGTGTCTGGGTGGCTCAGTGGGTTAAGCATTTACCTTCGGTTCAGGTCATGATCCCGGGGTCCTGGGATGGAGCCCCACATTAGGATCCTTGCTCTGAGGGGAGCCTGCTTCTCCCTCTCCCTCCCACTCCCTCTGCTTGTGCTCTCCACCCCTGCCCCATTAAATAAAATCTTAAAAAAATAAACTTAAATTTAAAAATACAGAAGACTGCATAAAGTCTTGATCTTTGTTATGAAAAAAACCTATATATACATCTGTGCATTATGTTTTCTAAGATATAAAAATGAAGTCTGGAATGTAAACAGAGGCTGGGGAGAGATACTTTTCATATTAGATCCTCGTGTACTTTTCCAAACTAGCATGAATGTGTTATTCTTATAATTAAAGACCTTCTTCGTAAAGTTAATCATCACAGAGCCTCAAAATCACAAAATACACAAGAGAATTTAGTTATCATTCTGACTCAGTGTTAATGAATTGTGAATAAAAGCTAACATTACTTGGTACTGATTATATGCCATGTGTTATGCACTTCACAATCCTCACAATCCTATGAGTTAAGACTATTATTACCATTTTACAGAGGAGAAAACAGAGAAGCTGAATTCCTCCAGGGTTGTAAGCAATCACCTGGGGATTTGAAACCTGGCAGAGTAGCTCCAGAGTTCACTCTGGACCACTGTGCATTAATGCCAGGCAGAAATCAAATACTAATATAACGTTTTTTTTTTTTTTTTTAAGATTTATTTATTTATTCATGAGAGACACAGAGAGAGAGGCAGAGACACAGGCAGAGGGAGAAGCGGGCTCCTTATAGGGAGCCTGATGCGGGACCCAATCCCGGGACTCCAGGATCACACCCTGAGCCAAAGGCAGACAAACATTCAACCGCTGAGCCACCCAGGCATCCCTGATATAACTGTTTTTGAAAGAAAGGGCACCAAAGAGTCAAGTGTAGGTATGTATGTTAACTATATTTCTCTACTTTAACTACCACACTGATTGTAGTATGAGACTGTGTGACGTAACAATCTGGTATCACAGCTTGCCCATGATGTTGTGTCAATGGCCCCATTTACAGTACCAGGGGGATTCTCCCACTTGCAATTTTAAGTTTGAAAAAATCTGATGCATATGCTGACAACTTAAAATCGGTTTTTGTCTTAGATGACTCATTTCTCCAGTTCCAGATGACCGCAACTACTGCTCTGCATTTGCATGCTCTCCATACACTTACTTCTCTGCTCTCCCTGCTGTCACCATTCTAACACGGCCACTTCTCCAAACCCTGACTTCCAGTCCAACCCCCCTACACTGCCTCATCACTCTGTGGCTCTAGCAGCTTCTAGACGAAAAAGGTGCTTTACACAGCTATCATTCACTAGGCACCTTCTCTGGAAGCCTATTTTTAACCTAACGAGGTCTACTGATGGGCTTCTTTCATACTTCCGTTTTTCACAGGTAGTACCTACAGTCATCTTTGTCTTCTTAAAAACAAACAATGACAAAAAAACAAGAACCAACTTCCCTTAGCCTCCCATCTACTCTTTTCCTTTTATCCTAGAACACTTAACTTGGCTTTTTTTCTGGCTTTTTTCAAACTACTGCTTTCTACCACTGCAACCCCAGCCCCAGCCCCACCCCTACCTGCAGCGCCACTCCCAGCAGCACAATGGGAGCTGCAGTAACTCTCAGCAATAAGACTACAGGCTAACTACCACACCAACCACAAACCAGTATAAAGGCTAGTTTTCCTAGAATTTTACAAGTTAAACTATTAACTGGACCAAAAGATTTCAGTTCCCTCCTAATCTTTTTTTCAAGGGGCTTTGTCTTCTTTGCCTTTGAGAAAAATTCTTTGCTATTTCGACCTAAACAGTTTTCAATCTGTTTAAGTGTTATTTAAATGTAAAATATGTTGCAGGCATGCTGTTATTAATACCAGTCAGAGCATCAAATTTTGTTAATGATTCTCTCTCTAAAACAGGTATACAGCTATCCTTAACATAACTGTCCTCTGTGTCTCCATGTTGGTTTCTTTTTTGAACAGGGTAACTGCTTCCACAGGTTCATGACTGTCTGGATTAAGTTATGTGCAATCTGAGTTTAAAAAAAGGTCAAGAATTGCTCAAGGACATTAGTTAGAGATTTCTCAGGAAATCTATACATAGTACTAATCCATCCACAAACAATATTCCATTACATATACAAAATCTGCTCAACTATTTCAGTATTTTGTTCGTAAGAAACAAATGCCCTCACATCAGATATCAGTGTGCTCTAAGAGACTGGTTTAAATCTATAAAAATAATTACTTAGGCAAAAATATCTCTGTTAAAATTTTTAAATTGAAGCATATTTTCAAAGTCTTTTATCACACTATATACACTTTGGAAAAAATGATATAGCCAAGCCAAGTTGGAGAAACACCAACTTTATAGTTGAATTATAAGTTTTACCTGTCTACAAGAATTTGATTGGTTTTCTTCCAATCTTCAGCTGCTGAAATTTCCTTTGCCTCCAGTTTCTGTTTCAAACTATTTATTTCTGATTCATAGTAAGCTCGAAGATCCGCTATATGTCGAGCATGCTTTTCCTTTAGGTTCTGCCTAATTCTGTTGTTGAAAGCAAAAAAAAAAAAAATTTAGGCAAGCGTTTCCTCACTCTCTATCCCACAAGAGAAACCAGTAACACAATCTTTCTCATAGCAAAAGTACAGCCTTTATTCCTGTGTACACCCACAGAAAACATAATAAGCACATTGATGACCAATTAAGCAAAAAAAAAAAAAAAAAAGACATGGATTTTTAGATGTTCTACCTTAAAAATGCTGCTAAATTTTTTTTTAAAGATTTTATACATTAGGGAAGGTCAATAAAAGTCATTTTCATTATTCAAGCAGATGTCATACGAAATCTATTAACATTACAAGCCATGCACTGAAATACATACTTCGACAGTATCACAGGATCTTCCAGGGAAGTCAATGAGATGCACTCTGGGACACTGCTGACTGTCCCTGGAAGCTGGGACTGGCCGACTGAAGCTGAGGTTGCCATGACAGTGTTTTCTTCATCCACAGTGTTGACCGAGATATCATTACTAGTAATGGTATAAACTGAAGGAAATGTGGAACTGGTCCTACTTTCATTTTGGAATCCATGATTCTTCCAAGAGTCCACTGGTAAAGCTTTTGTATTTGAAGGATATTTTGGGAATCCATATAACTGAGAAGCGATATTACTTGCTTGTGAAAATGAGTCTACATCAGAGTGACTAGACATACTAGGTTCAAGAACAGAGTCTGGTGAAAAGGATATTCTGTCATCGAGGGCATTCAAAAAGCCTTGTGGCTGAATCCCTGAAATCTGATTTGGCTTCATGTGTAACGTTGGATCTAGAGTTAGTACCTAGAAATAAGACAGACAATAGTAAGCTTTTGCCCCCAGTACTCAGGGTTTGTTTTTGAGTAGGCTTTAGATCTCCTAGGGAAAATAAAGCTTACGATAAAAGTTCAGAGTTCACGAAGCATCTTTCATTTTCACTCCACAGAGTGTGGACAATTTACCTCTGGTGGATGATTTGGGTTGGAAGCAGAAGTGAGATTCCGCTCAGGTAACTGCTTGTTTTCCCTTTGTTTTTTATGATAAATATCCTTCAGTGATGGCAGCTTCATCTCATTACTAGTATTTGACTTAAAGATATGAAACAAAATTATTTAAATGGTATTATCAATGATGAAAGAAGTTTACTGATATCAAGATCAGCACCACAGAAAGATTTCTGAAAGATTTTAAATGAACTGAGACTCTAAACTTGTCAGTTATAAAACACACTTAGAAGTTCTTACCTGTTAATTACGAGTCTTCTGCAGAATGAAAAAGAATTAATATCCCCTAACAATAAATATTAAGGTGATAATCTGAACCTAAGTTATTCAGTAGCCTAAGAATACTTCCAAAGAATAAAAAACTTTGGTAGTTCCCCCTACTCAAGATAAAAATCAAGTTTTGAGGTAAGGAAAGACTTCATCATGAATGACCAAAGCAGGAAGGAAGACCTCTGGCTAAATTAATAACATGTGACTCAAGGGGACAGGTATATAGAGAGATTTACGTAGTTATTTTCCTTTTTTTTTTTTTTTTTTTAAGATTTATTTCTTTTAGAGGGAGGAGAAATGAGAGAGCGCACACACACAAGCATGGGGAAGGGCAGAGAAAGACACAGACAGAATCCTCAAGCAGACTCCTAGCTAAGTGAGGACCCCCTCCACCTCCTCACCCCTGCCAACACAGGGCTTCATCCCAGGACTCTGAGATCACGACAGGAGCCAAAATCAAAAGTCAGATGCTTAACTGACTGAGCCACCTAGGTACCTCTTCCTATTTTTTTAAGAGTTGGCAGACAAGGGCAGCCCTGGTGGCTCAGCGGTTTAGCGCCGCCTTCAGCCCAGGGTGGGATCCTGGAGACCCGGGATCAAGTCCCATGTCAGGCTCCCTGCATGGAGTAGAGCCTGCTTCTCCCTCTGCCTGTGTCTCTCTGCCTCTCTCTCTCTCTCTCTCTCTCTGTCTCTCATGCATAAATAAAAAAAATCTTAAAAAAAAAAAAGAGTTGGCAGACAAAAAAAAAAGTATTAAAAAGTGTTAAGAATTTATCCAATGGAAATAAGCCCCTTTTAAAAACTCATAAAATGGGAAAAAAATAAAAATAAAAACTCATAAAATGGGGTACCTGGGTGGCTCAAAGGTTGAGCATCTGCCTTTGCCTCAGGACATGATCCTGGGGTCATGGGATTGAGTCCCACATCAGGCTCCCTATGAGAGGCCTGCTTCTCCCTCTGCCTGTGTCTCTGCCTCTCTGTCTCTCATGAATAAATAAAATCTTAAAAAAAAAAAACTCAAAATAAGAAGACATAATATTTCTACAGTTTGAAATTAGGGCTCTGCCACAATGGAAATGTTGCAAAGAGGTTTAAGCTTCAAACATTAAAACCTCAGCCTTAAATTACTTCAAGGTGAGATCTATTGTAGGGCATGATGGTAGACCATTTAACCCTGAGCCTCAAATTTAAACTGTGGACATTCTCTTAATGAGATTATAGATTCAGCAAGAGATCCACCAAAACCATTACAAGAATACAACCACATGTAGCTTTAACTTTGTGTTCCCTTTCTAAACCCTACACAGGCTGCAGAATACGATGAATTAATTCTTTAAAAAAAAACCTCTCTAACTAGCTTGTGAATAAAATAATCAAATTTTTGTGTGTGCATGGGCACCTGAGTGGCTTGGTCAGTTAAGTGTCTGACCTCAGCTCAGGTCGTGATCTCAGGATCTCAGGATCCTGGAATGGAGCCTCACCTTGTAAGGGTGGGGGCAGGTCTCCACTCAGCAGGGAGTCTGCTTATATCTCTCCCTCTGCCCCTCCCCCTGCCTGTCTCTCAAATACATAAAATCTTAAAAAATACTGTGTGTAAAGGCATTGATTTGTTGAATGTAAACCCTTACAATTTACCATAATTTCTGTATTCCTACTTTAGAATTTTACTTTTTATATACGAACAACCTAAAGGCCCTATCAACTCCTAGTCCCTAACCACAGAGCACTATGGATGTGGCCTCAAGCCTAAGTAATCCCTGCCTGTTGGTTTGGGTGAGCAGCTGGAATTCCTCTTTGAGAACTCACTGTACAAGGAACTATTTTTCACCATTTTCTACTTCTATGATTTCATATTTTAACATCTCTGAAGTGAGGATGCCTCTTATAATTAATAGCATCTCACATTGCTTTTGGTCAAGGAGCAACTGTGGCATAATTGTCATCGCCTTCTCATAAACAAATATTGAAGACATCAAAATTGGCCAAACAGGTGTCAGGAGTCTAGAAGAAAATCCTAGAGACTACACTGGAACCCCTGAGAACCAATATTTAAGGGATGGTGAATCCTGTATGTTTAGCAATGTTCCCCCATCTGGGAGCCAAATGTAGGCCAGTCCCATATAACTACTAAAGCCAAGTAAAAACTTGGCACCAAGGCCTTTCCTCCTTTTTTTAAAGAAATGCCAAATCCTCAAAGCTCTTTGATGCTCAAGGAAAACTGTGTGGGAAAACACAGAAACCAACACTGAGTTGAAAACAGTGTAAGCCTCTGTTGGTTAAGAAGTTTTAACAAACATTTCACTTATATTGTTCTTTTTAAGTGTGTATAAGAGTTCTTTGATAAAAATCAATGTTTAATTAGGTCTACAAGCTCTTTTAATAAGAATAAAATATAAATTCTACCTTATCAGTGTTTTCTTGGTAATTTTGGGGGCTTAGAATATGAAACAGAAGTCTTAAAAATGATAGTATCGGGCAGCCTGGGTGGCTCAGAGGTTTAGCGCCGCCTTCAGCCCAGAGTATGATCCTGGAGACCCAGAATTGAGTCCCATGTCAGGCTCCCTGCATGAAGCCTGCTTCCCCCTCTGCCTGTGTCTCTACCTCTCTCTCTCTGTGTCTCTCATGAATAAATAAATAAAATCTTAAAAAGAAAAAGTGATAGTATCTTAGAATCAGCAATATATTCATTTACTGATGGTGCAGGTTATGTCACACGCACACACAGTGAGCCCTGTAATCACAGAGCCCACTAAGCCTTGGCCCTTCATAATCTCACTTCTCAGCCTTCCTCTGTTTCTCTCTTTTTCCGCTCCTTCCCTAAAGGATGGAATGCTGGTTTCTGCCCCACACATATGCCGTTCCCCAATGCCCTACTGATGCAGGTGACTCATGCTTACAGCTCTTCCGGTTACTTTCATTGTAACCTCTCCTTTTCCCCAAACTACCTTCTACCACCTGACCAAACAAAATACAGAAGTGAGATATGTACATGGATATACACAAGCTAGTTTTAATTTATTGTTCTGAAACAAAGAGAATATTTACATCTCTTGCTCAAAGAAAATTACTACATCAAACTAAAATACTCAAAATTATTATACAAATGGGTTAACAGGAGGGTGCGATAAGATGAAGAATCAAAACCAGGTGTAGGAAGAGCAGAAGTAGTTGTCTGCAGACCTACTGTATTTAGAATAGAAGGCACAAAATCATGTCATTTAATTTTACAACACATTATCTGGGCACTTTTAATTCCACTCTTAAGTAACTTTCCTATGAGCCTATAGGCAGTGAATGAGAGACCAAATATGAAAGCAGGTGTAATTTAAAGCCCAGGCTTTTGTCAATATATCAGAAATTGGAAAACACAAAATTTATAATGAAATGGAGTATTTAACTACAACTGTATAACGCAAACACACAATGTGTTTTTAACTTACCTGGCCTGGTGACATATCTGTGGAGGAGGCCGGTACAAACGTCTTCTCTAAAGTTTCAGGCAGGGAGTGATACATGTCCTTCTCTTCCAACTTCCAGTAAGTCAGTCCTATTGTGCACAAATACAAAGAATAGAAGACTGAGGAAAGAAAACAAAAATGCTAAGTGCTTTCTAGGATAAGTTATTTCTACATTTCTAATTTTCTAAAGAAAATTAAATATGAGAAGTAACTAGTTTTAGGCTATCTGGATGTGGGAAGTTGAATTTTGATGGCAAAGACTCTCTTAAATGCCTTAGCATGTAAGAGTTCTGATTTAAGGTTCCAAATATTTAAGACTGAAATATATTATTACTAAAAGGCAAGATATGGGGTGCCTGATTGGCTCAGGCAATAGAGCATGCAACTCTTGATCTCAGGGTTGTGAATTCAAGCTTCATGTTGGATGTAGAGATTATTTTAAAAAATAAAAAAAGTCAAGATAAACTAGTGCAATCTAAAATATATTTCTTAAAATATAACAATTTCTTTATGGACAGTACAGAAGAAGCAAAATAAAGAATTCAATGGTTCAAATACATATTGAGTGTTGACTATGCCAGGCTGGGGAGCAAATGTGAGACATGAACAGTAAGTATATCACAAGATACCCAGTAAGTCAGAAGGAGTAAGCACCCTAATGGTAAGATTTAAAAATCAAGTAAAGGGGAATATGTAGTGTGTGTGGAGGGGTGTTCAGAGTTTGATTCACTGCAAGGTAACAAGACAGAGTAAGCATTTCAGCCATGTACGAGGGAGGTCCCCTATATAAGAGGTGGGGAGAACATTTCAAATATAGAAGCAGCAAAGGAGAACATATCTGGCACATTTAAGCAAACAGCCTCTCTGCTGAAGCAAAGAAAGGGAGTAACAGAAAATGAGGTCAAACAGAACAAGGCTAGGTCTTGCAAGGCCTATGAATGCCTATAAAGACTCTGGCTGTTCTTCTGAGGGAAAGAGCACAGCAGGGTTTTGAGCAGAGGAGTCCCATGATCTGACCCATCTTTAAGAAGGATGGCATAGGCTACTGTGTTGAGAACAGATGGAAGGCTGCAAGGGTGCAGGCAGGGAGGCTGGGCAGGAAGTTGCAGGAACCCAGGTGACACGCAATGGGAGCTCTATGAGGGTAACAGCATGACGGTGGTTGAATTCTGGCAATTTTCATCCTGCAAAGCCAATTCATCCTGACAAACTGGATGTGAGATTGTAGGGAGAAAAAATCAGTATATTACATCATTAAAACTAAAATAAGCTTACCATGGAGAGTAAAGAATGGCTCACAAAGGGTTTGAATTTCTTAATTCATTCTGGAGCACCTAGAAAATCCTGATATGATTTTTGCAACAGTTTGAAATAACTCTTAAAGTATTTTTTCCATCTATCTTTCAAAATGCATAAAATAAATTAATGCCAAGTAAGGAAGTCAGATTTAGCAGAGGCACAACATAACATGTAACAGATTTACAGAAACCATTCTGATACACTGTATAGAATTATCTTCCTATTAGGAATGCAGATACGTTGTTATAAAAAAATAATTATCATACCTGTTCCTGAATCAGACATCCAAGAATCTGGACTCTCATCCGGTCTATTGAGGTAAAAAGCATGAGGATGCTTAGCAGCAGTGAAATTAGACTATAATGCAAGAAAGAAAACTATGAGTTGACAGCTAAAAATCATTAGGCACGAACGGCTGACCCAAAGAATGAGAGCCAAGTGTCAAACGTAGGTACAGAGAAAGGGGGTTCATTAAGGGTTCATTAAGAAGTAAGAAAGCGGGCAGCCCCGGTGGCACAGCGCTTTAGTGCCGCCTGCAGCCCGGGGTGTGATCCTGGAGACCCGGGATCGAGTCCCACATCAGGCTCCTTGCATGGAGCCTGCTTCTGTCTCTCCCTGTGTCTCTGCCTATGTCTCTCTCTGTGTGTCTTTCATTAATAAATAAATAAAATCTTTAAAAAAAAAAAAGTAAGAAAGCCTGGTTTTCCACACAATTACAAGAATGCAAAATGATAGGGATTAACAGTGAAGGATTTTCTTTTCCTGTATGTTTACAAAAGTTTATTTTGCTTCTGTGGAATTGGAAGAACACTGGGAGCTGGTGCTACTTAAAGAGTTCAGAATGAAAATGTATTTATAATTTGCCAGCTACATCCAAAAGAAATTCAAAGTGCCTGGAATTGAAGTCATTTAGTGTCAAAATAAATGTGAAAGCCATAACAATTCATCTTTATCATTAAAAGTACAATAATTCAAACTCTGAAGACCTCATTCAGTAATTAATATGCACTTCGAGTAGTAAACTATGTCTTACATATAGACAACTGGTTACTAAGCCCAGAAAAAGCTCAAAATGCTTATCATCAATTCTAATAAAAATTCTAAGCTATGGACGCCTGGGTGGCTGAGCGGTTGAGTGTCTGCCTTCAGCTCAGGGCGTAATCCTGGAGTCCCGGGATCAAGTTCTTCATTGGGCTCCCTGCATGGAGACTGCTTCTCCCTCTGCCTGTGTAGCTCATGAATAAATAAATACAATCTTTTTTTAAAAAATTAAAAAATAGGGATCCCTGAGTGGCGCAGTGGTTTGGCGCCTGCCTTTGGCCCAGGGCCCGATCCTGGAGACCCGGGATCGAATCCCACGTCGGGCTCCTGGTGCATGGAGCCTGCTTCTCCCTCTGCCTGTGTCTCTGCCTCTCTCTCTCTGTGTGTGTGACTATCATAAATAAATAAAAATTAAAAAAAAAATTAAAAAATAAAATATATTTTTTTAAAAAACTCTAAGCTGGGCAGCCCGGGTGGCTCAGCGGTTTAGCGCCACCTTCAGCCCAGGGTTTGATCCTGGAGACCCAGGATCGAGTCCCATGTCGGGCTCCCTGCATGGAGCGTGCTTCTTCCTCTGCCTGTGTCTCTGCCTCTCCCTCTCTCTCTCTGTCCCTCATGAATAAATAAATAAAAATATTTTTAAAAAATAATAATAATAAGTAAAAAATAAAAAAATAAAAAACTCTAACTGTTCCTCATAGTATCTCTGGAATTGTCACAAGAAATCTGTTTCCAGAGATGTAAAAAGACTATTTTTAATCAGAATTTTTCTTATCAGTTTCACCATTATCAAACTTTTAATTCCCGTTAAAAAGTATTTAAGTTGCATTTGCTTATAATCATCTGTGGACCTATAGCAAAGGTAATGGGATACTGAGGGGAGGGACAGCACTCCACCTCAGCCTCCTAAGATACCATTCAGTCTCTTGTTCATCAAATGAGAAATTCTTTTTTTTTTAAAGATATTTTTTTTAATTTATTTATTTATGATAGTGACAGAGAGAGAGAGAGAGAGGCAGAGACACAGGCAGAGGGAGAAGCAGGCTCCATGCACCGGGAGCCTGACGTGGGATTCGATCCCGGGTCTCCAGGATCGCGCCCTGAGCCAAAGGCAGGCGCCAAACCGCTGCACCACCCAGGGATCCCTCAAATGAGAAATTCTTATGTCATATTTTGTCTCTTCTAAAACTCCTATCTGTTCAAATTTCTGTCAAATATCAGTATTGAACAGATCAGAAAAAGCTGACAGAAGAAGACTAAGTGAAAAATACCAAGTAACACATTTTGTCTTCTTCCCAACTCTGCCGTGCCAAACCTTCATGCATTCAGCCAACAACAGTGGGCTGGGAGGCTCATCTTGCCCGCTACCGCTGCTGCGGTACTGAGCACACCAGGCCTGGCTTTTAATGAGAAAGAAAAGTATGGAGCCATGAAAAGTCCTTCCCAAGAAGCTGGCCAACACCTAGCATAGAAACCTTCAATAATGGCAGCAACAGTCCAGTTGTCCATCCGGGAAGCCACTCCCAAGTCCTGCTGCCCCAGAAATGGTAATGTCAAGTCTGTCCCCAAAGAAAATCCTTATGCTAAACAATAGCCATTTCAAGATGTGCTTCAAAATAGTACCCAAAAGAAACTGCCATTGCAGAAAGAGAAAATTGGACCCCAAGAGAATTCTGACCATAAGGATTCCCTGATTTAGACTGAAACTAGAAAAAAACTAGAGAAGAGGAAAGATGAAATAGAGTTCCAACTTGGTGAATACACAGAATTTAGTTCAGAATTATGCAGGTAAGAAAAGTATTTCAGGTGTGGAGCCTGGATTCACCAACTATCATTACCTGAAAATCTTTTAATACTCCAGTATCAATGAAACTTGATTTGCCATAATGATTTATTACCAAAAATATCACTCACCTTTAAAAAACAAACAAACAAACAAAAAAGAGGCACCAAGGTGACTTGGTTGAGGGTCTGACTCTTGATTTTAGCTCAGGTCATGATCTCAGGGTCCTGGTATCAAGCCCCACATCAGGCTCCAAGCTCAATGGGGAGTCTACCTAAGACTCTCTCCCTCTGCCTCTGCCCATCCTCCAGTGTGGGCATGAGCCCATTCTCTCTCTAAAATAATTAATGGATGAATCTTTTAAAAATTAATCGATTAAAATTTAATTAAAAAAAGGAAAAACACAACTGGTTCAAGAGATGATTAAAGAAAAGGGAAAGCTCAAAGGGAACTATCTCTGCCCTGCTGACATTAGAGGCAGAGCACTCCACCAGACAGGACAGACTTATCCTCAAAGGCATTTCTCAGGTGATTCTCCACCAAATCCAGGACAATAGACTAGGCCAATGATTCCCAAGCTTTGCAGCACTCAGAATCACCTGAGGAGCTTTTACACTTCCCAATGCACAAGGCACACCCCTGCCCGAGGAAGGCAGACCACCTGGTGGTGGTGGCCAGGCATAAGCAGATTTTTCTAAGCTCTTCAGGTGACTCTCTGTCAGGAGAGTTTGTTCTGTCTTTTGTTTTTATTTTTATTTATTTTTTAAAGGATTTTATTTATTTATTAGAGGCACAGAGAGAGGGGCAGAGACATATAGCAGAATACCCAGTGCTCATCCCATCAAGTGCCCTCTTTAGTGCCCGTCACCTGGTTTTCTGCTAGCCTCCCCAAAACTGAGTTTTAGTTCACGTAAAAACAGAAGAAAAACTAGTATGTATGAAAACATTTTCAGGCAGCCCAGGTGGCTCAGCGGTTTAGCGCCACCTTCAGCCCAGGGTGTGATCCTGGAGACCCGGGATCAAGTCCCACATCAGGTTTCCTGCATGGAGCCTGCTTCTCCCTCTACCTCTCTCTCCCGTGAATAAATAAATAAAATCTTTAAAAAAAAAAAAAAGTGGCCAATTTCTAAAGGTATCAAGTTTTTTTTTAAGATTTTTTTTATTATTATTTATTTATTCAGAGACACAGAGAGAGAGAGGCAGAGACACAGGCAGAGGGAGAAGCAGGCTCCATACAGGGAGTCCAATGTGGGACTCGATCCCGGGTCCCCAGGATCACACCCCAGGCTGCAGGCAGCCCCAAACCGCTGCGCCACCAGGGCTGCCCTAAAGGTATCAAGTTTTCAGAGAAACCGGATTTTGCAATTTCAATATATTATACTTAAACAATGTTACTCGATGATAATTTGGGCCAAAAGGGCTTCAAAGATGTTTAAAACTTACTCAGTATCTCTAACTCTTTAACAAAAACAGCTACTAGATTAGCAAAAGGGCCACAAAGACTTTAAACATTTAATCTCTCATAATTTGGATTACAAATGGAGTTGTCTTGAAGCATTCACACATATGGTGCTACTTCTTACAACATAATAGTAATACAAATTATTTGAGGGTTTAAAAAAAGTTAAATAGAAAAAAAAAAAGTTAAATGGGGGATCCCTGGGTGGCGCATCGGTTTGGCGCCTGCCTTTGGCCCAGGGCGCGATCCTGGAGACCCGGGATCAAATCCCACGTCGGGCTCCCGGTGCATGGAGCCTGCTTCTCCCTCTGCCTATGTCTCTGCCTCTCTCTCTCTCTCTGTGTGACTATCATAAATAAATTTAAAAAAATGTTTTTCATATTTTGTAGTACTTTATCCCTCATTAGTTTTGATTTCCCAACTACAGAACCAGTTCATAGAGCAAATCATTGCTTCCAATCCTCTGAGACACCCAAAGGGAGACAAGTCAATGGAACAAATTAATGCTACAAAAGAAAAGGCAAAAAACGTATGTTGATGAGCATCTAGTAAAGCCAATATAATTATCAGTAGCAGAAGCATCCCAGAATAAAATGACTTATCACCTACTTTCTCAACTGGTGATTTCCTGGCTTGCTCATTTCCTTGCATAGATTTTGAACACCCTTCTTCTGTAAGCGCTCTCTTTGGCTGGTTCTGCTTCAGCTTTTGTGCCCATGATGTTATAGATTTGCTATTCAAAAAAGAAAATCGAAATTATGCTCTTTAGACGCTGTCCTTTACACATAAAACTAAAAGATACCGGCCAGTGGAAAATACTTTGAGTTTTCTAAAAGCAGAGAAAGGATGGATTTTTATCAATTCACCTACACCTCTTTTTACATTTTTTTATTATCAAAGGCAAAGCGAACAAGACTAATGGTGATTAATAATACATACAGCTGTAGCCACAGAATAAAACAAAACTGATCATCGTGGCCCATTCAAGTACTCAATATATCTCTACAGCAATAGCTTCTTTATTTACAAGGACTGTTAATTACACTCATAGGTACACTAGATCTGTGTTGCTATAACTACTTATTTTAGAGGACACATTTTCAAGTATAAAACTGAACATTTAGGGTAAATGACATAATTTTAAATGATTATTTGCTTTACAAATATCCAGCCACAGTTGTCATTAAACTTAGAAAAGCTCCTCTTATACACAAAAATGAATGAGTATGCTTGTGTATGATTTTTGGTTTCAAATTACATGCATGAGTGACAAAATTCCACTGTTGATATATTTCTATACTCTAATTTTTAGCAGGTTTATAGTGACCAGAAAAATAGGAACGGTATTTTTCTGGCAAGGCCTCACACCTTAAGAGGTTAGTAGTCCTACAACATTGCAAATGGAAAGAAAGTCAGATGTTGGTAATACATAGTATGCTTTATTTCCATTTGCCAAAGGCAATAAATACAAGACTTTGGTAAAGCTAAGCGTTCAAATACATCTCATTTTATTCTCAAAAAGGAGCTTGATTTACTAGATTCTAAATGTAACAAACAAGTAAACCTCCCTTCAAATGATAGAGAAATTCTACTCACCTATTTGTTTTTCCACTGTATACTTCCGAAATCTTATTTTCACCAAGAAAACTGTGTTCAAATTCACCAGGAAAAATGGAAATATCTTCCTTTAAAGATGGACAGAACTCTTCAGCAGTGTGTATATGAAAACTCTTGTTTTTTACACCATCTACAAGTGACTCTGTCTGCCCCAAAGGTGCACCAAACTGTCCTTCAGAAACCTCTGCGTGCTCCATGAACTCCTTAGAGTCCTTAGATTTGTAGGTATTTAATTCAGAGACACAAAAGGTACCATACCCACTGCTCACTGAGCTACTATCCACATTGCAGTCTGGTTGTGACGTGGATGTTTCTTGCTGCATTTCGGATTCTTTAGACTTAGGATAACTGATAATAGGTTCATTTCTCTCACTGTTTTCAGAAAAAAAACCCATTTGACTTTCTGAAGATAATTGTTTGCTTAAAGAAGTATCATAGGAAGCCCAGGAAGCATTACTGGTCTGTAACTTGACTAAATTTTTTATCTCCTCTTGTATACGCTGAAAATAAAATTAGAGATTTGGGTAAGAAAGTATACTAAACCTTATATTTTTGTAAATACTATGAGAATATTGCTTAAAAATATGAGCTATTACTCTATAGAGAATGTTTTAAGTAAAATAAACAAAACTGGTATAAAGTATTAACTGCTGCTTCTTGCAAATCTTAGTTTTATAAAAAAAGAATCAATAGAAATAACAACTTACTTGAATTTGGTTGTGGAATTGTTCCTGCTGGGCAACTATCTGTTCTTGGCATTGTTTTTCCACCAAATTGAATAGCTGTAACCACCTGGTCTATTAAATTAAAAGACATTTTAGTTAAAAATAATTTTTCATGTAATATTTCACAGAAAAATCCTCCAGGGGGAAAGAGCCTTTTTAAAATCTATTTTTAATGTAAAATGTATAAGCTGAATTAAATAGTTATAAAGCCATATTTAATGCAAAAATACAAAGGCACAGGCGTGATCACTTCTTTCTTATGTGACCTATAGTCTGGGTAAATTTGAAGGTGTGGGTAAATCTTTTTTTTCAAATGACATCTTAATTTGATGTCATCTGCTATCATTTTGATTCATCAAGAATTGGCAGTTCTACTTTAGATTTGTCTTAAATTTTTCTTTCTTCCCTGGTAATAAAGATTTTCTTAAATAATTCTTAGAGGGCAGCCTGGGTGGCTCAGTGGTTTAGCGACACCTTCAGTCCAGGGTGTGATCCTGGAGACCTGGGATCAAGTCCCACATCAGGCTCCCTGCATGGACCTGCTTCTGTCTCTGCCTCTTCTCTGTGTCTCTCATGAATAAATAAAATCTTTAAAAAGATAATAATAATAATAATTCTTAGAAAACAGAATCCCACACCTAAAACAAGAAATAATTTAGTATTATAGGAATTAAATCCCCAATTTGTTATTTAAGTAAAAACAAAAACAAAAAAAAAGTTTTCAAGTCAGATACTGAAGTGTTTTTTAAGCACTACAGCTGAAAAAGGAATGAAAAATTCACTGTGAAAACCCATGGAACTGGACTAGCATGCCCTCCGGTCACTTTTAGGTCCTGATCCAAAGTGACTCTCAAGAGGAGTCAGTACTCATAACCAAACTACAAAAACATGGCAGAAAAGGAGGCAAGGAGATCTCCAGAGGCTAAATTCAGTCTCAAGGTTAGTGTACTTTCAAGGATGCCTGGGTGGCTCAGTGGTTGAATGCCTGCCTTTGGCTTGAGGTATGATCCTGGAGTCCCGGGATCGAGTCCCACATCAGGCTCCCTGCATGGAGCCTGCTTCTCCCTCTGCCTGTGTTTCTGCCTCTCTCTCTCTCTCTCATGAATAAATAAAAATAAAATCTTAAAAAAAAAAGGCTAGTGTACTTTCAGTAACAGACTTTATGCAATAATACACAATGTGAATAAATAGCTAAAATGAAAAATAGCTTCCCTGTTTAAAACCTTTCAACTAAAAAAAAAAAAAAAAAAAAAAAAACCTTTCAACTGTTTTTCCACTCCTGTCTTCCTTATAGGGTGCTGAATGAACTGGCCTGTGCACAACTCCCAATCTCATCCCTCTCTTTCCCTCTCTCAGTGCACACCAGCCTAACTGGCCTCTACCTTTTCCCTAAACATGCAAAACTGTCTTCCACCTCAAAAGCTTTGCCACTGTACCCTCTACCCAGAAAGTTCTTTGCTCTTATGCTTCTGCCTTTCTGCAATTTCAGCTTAACTGTCACCCTCTCAAAGATAGCTTTTTCCCCAAACCATTCTACAGTTGGCTCTCTGTCATCCTGTGTATTGCCTTCATAACATTTACCACATGAGAGAGCATCTTGTTCACTTTGTTAACCTGTCTCCAGCATCTAGGACACAATGCAAGGAAAGAGTGGGCACTCAGGCAGTCTGAGTATATAAAAATGGAATTTCAGGGGCCCATGGCTGGCTCAGTTAGTAGAAAATGCAACTCTTGATCTTGGGGTCCTGAGGTTGGAGCCTCACGTTGGGGATAGAGTTACTAAAAAGGCGGGGGGGGGGGGGCAGCCCAGGTGGCTCAGCAGTTTAGTGCTGCCTTTAGCCCGGGGCCTGATCCTGGAGATCCAGAATCGAGTCCCACATTGGGCTCCCTACATGGAGCCTGCTTCTCCCTCTGCCTGTGTCTATGTGTCTCTCATGAATAAATAAATAAAATCTTTAAAAATAATGTGAATTTGTAGCTGATTTTTTTCTTGGTACTACAGACTACACAATCTAGAGGCCCTTCAGATTAATGCTGAAAGCCAGTTCTATAACCACAACAGAGCAGAATTAAGTTGAAAGCTATATAACAAGAATGCCTGGGTGGCTCAGCAGTTGAACATCTGCCTTCAGCTCAGGGTGAGATCCCAGGTCCAGGAATCTAGTCCCACATTGGGCTTCCTGGGAGGAGCCTGCTTCTCCCTCTGTGTCTCTGCCTCTCTCTGTGTGTCTCTCATAAATAAATAGTTTACCAAAAAAAAACAAAAAAAAAAAAACCAAAAAAGAAAGCTATATAACAGTATTAAAGAGAAGAAAGTAAAAACTCAGGATTGGAAAAGGAAACCTTCAGGGCAGCCATGGTGGCTCAGTTTAGCGCCACCTTCAGTCCAGGGTGGAATTCTGGAGACCCAGGATCCAGTCCCACATTGGGCTCCCTGCATGGAGCCTGCTTCTCCCTCTGCCTGTGTCTTTGCCTCTCTCTCTCTCTCTGTCTCTCATGCATAAATAAATAAAATCTTTAAAAAAAAAAAAAAAGGAAAAGGAAACCTTCAAATTGAAATAGAACAGTACTGATAGCTAGTATTAATTCTAAATCACCTAGCTTCAGGTTAAGGTAGACTATATCAAATTCAGATCCTTATCTTCTCAATTTATCTACAACATGAAGTAAACATGAAGTAACAAGAAATCAGGCAACAGTGTTCTTATTAAGTTACACTAACTTAAATACTTTAGGCATTATTTTAACCTGATAAAGTTATTAATAACACAGTATTAAACTACAACAACAAAACTACAATGACAGACTAACATACATAACCAAAAAAATATGGCTTCATATTATGTGACACACTTAATGTTAATCCCATCCTTATTATCATTTTCTTATTTAGGATACAAATGAATAGGGCTTACCCAGGATATAAACTGGTAGAGAAGATTTTGTTCTCCTAGTCAGATTTTATAATATTCTAATTTTCAATAAACATATTTAAGAGCATTATAAATGCAGCAAATAACATTACTCACAGAATTACTATTCATTTCTAACTAAAATTAATTACATGACCTGCAATTTACATACTTTTGGAGAATTTGACCATCTAATTAAAGCTTTCCCCTGCACACAGCTTTTGATGCTATTAGCCTAAATGGGGTTGCTGTAGTCTGGCCTCATAAGTATCCCATTGGCTTTGACATCCTAGGGATTCCCAGCTCTCCACTAATAAACTATGTGGTCTTCAACAAGTAAATTTCACTTGTGCTTCTTATGAATTCATAAAATGGGAAGAGTAATACTTCATAGGTGGCTGGGAGATTAAATTTTAAATTCAAACATGATGCATGCGAAGCAGTGATCTCAATGGGGGAACTGTATTTTGAAAACCTGTGAGGTCATGACTGTCACAAAGATAGTGAAGGTACTACCAGCACTTAGTGGGCAGTCCAGGGATTTAAATCACAGGACAGTCCCCAACAATGAAAAACTGTTCTGTGTCCATTTTATATTATAAAAATACCATGTATTTTGCACAGCTTTCCAATCACCAAATTGTCTAGGAATCCAACCACAAAGATGTTAAAGTTTGTCTCAGAGCTTGATCAGAAATTGATCACCATTTCAGAAAATCAAGTCACACACAAAAAAAAAAAAAAGAAAAAAGAAAAAAAGAAAATCAAGTCACCAAATGCCGTGCTGGATCATCAATACAATACAGTTGTATCAGTCCATGTCTGCAGCTGCTGCCATCATGATGAGTCTACATACAAACCCCTGACTGTGCTTCATTTTGTCTTCTAACGTGGATGTACCTGAGACCTTATATACTGAAATATCTGTTTAGATATTATAAATAAGTTTTTATTCCTCCTCCACATCACAGTTAAGAGGATGATAGTTTTTGAGGTGGGTACATGCAGGATATATTTGTGAAGTTCACTTCAGGATAATATAAGCTGATGTTATTTTTAAAATTGTAAAATGTATTTGTAAATTACTAATTTAATTGTAAAATTATAAAATGAGGGCTTTGGGTCTAATGAGGTTGAAAACCACTGACAAAAAGTGTTTACTACTTGGCAAATAGATAATAAATGGTACGGGGATCCCTGGGTGGCGCAGCGGTTTGGCGCCTGCCTTTGGCCCAGGGCGCGGTCCTGGAGACCCGGGATCGAATCCCACGTCGGGCTCCCGGTGCATGGAGCCTGCTTCTCCCTCTGCCTATGTCTCTGCACCTCTCTCTCTCTCTCTCTGTGACTATCATAAATAAATAAAAATTTAAAAAAAAAAAAAAGATAATAAATGGTACGCTTACAGTAACTATTACCATATAACCATTGCTCTTTCATACATAATCAGTAACCCTAAGTGCTAAAATAATGAATTAAGACAAATTAGCTAATAATGTGCTTTAAAAATTTACCATTACAGAAATATTAGAAACAACAAATATTTAAGAATATATTAAATTCTATGTAAATGTGTTAAAAATTATTCTCCATGAATCAAAATGTATAACCTTCTCAAAGTTAAGCAACAATAAACTTAAGAATTCCAGGAAAGGGGATCCCTGGGTGGCGCAGCGGTTTGGCGCCTGCCTTTGGCCCAGGGCGCGATCCTGGAGACCCGGGATCGAATCCCACATTGGGCTCCCAGCGCATGGAGCCTGCTTCTCCCTCTGCCTGTGTCTCTGCCTCTCTCTCTCTCTCTCTCTCTCTCTGTGACTATCATAAATAAATAAATTAAAAAAAAAAAAAGAGAGAGATTCTTTGAATCTCTTAAAAAAAAAAAAAAAAAAGAATTCCAGGAAAGAGGGGATCCCTGGATGGCTCAGTGGTTTGGCGCCTGCCTTTGGCCCAGGACGTGATCCTGGAGCCCCGGGATCGAGTCCCACGTCAGGTTGCATGCATGGAGCCTGCTTCTCCCTCTGCCTGTGTCTCTGTGTCTCTCTCTCTGTGTCTCTCATGATTAAATAAATAAAATCTGTATTGAAAAAAAAAGAATTCCAGGAAAGAGGTTTCAGAAAGAAATTCTAAAGAAATCAGATCTCCAGAGCTCTGAGCTCCACAGAAGGTTTTATGTTTTGTTTTAATAACATAGATTTTACCTTATAAATGGTAGAAATCAAAGAAATGTTACTATTTCTGAAATGAAAATGAAAGCACGAAATTTAGGGAAGAGTCAGGAATAAGACTTGCACAACCCTTAGCCTTCTGATTCTTCCTAAAATGGTACACACTAAAACATCAGAAGATTTTGGGTTTCTTGTATGACACAAAACACACTAATACACTGTGGAAATTCTACTGAAATGACTAGAAGGATATTTCATATTCTGTCAAAGTAAGAAGTATCTTAAACTATTGAGTGGGGGGCACCTGGGTGTCTCAGTTATACATCTGCCATCAGCTCAGGTCATGATCCTGGGATCCTAGGGTAGAGCCCCAATGGGCTCCCTGCTCAGCGGGGAGCCTGTTTCTCCCTCTGCCTCTGAGCCTCCCCACTACTTGTACAAACACGGGCACAGTCTCTCTCTCTCAAATGAATAAATAAATTTAAAGAAAAATATTCACTGAATAATCAATTACATGTCTACATTACAAAAATTAAGTAGTCAATTATTATTAAACATAATAAAATAATAGTATTGTATCACAGCTGAAGGAGAAGGGGTATATAGAAACTGGTTCAAATGTTAAAGTGTAAGTATCTGGTTGGAATGCTGGCTTATAAAAATCTGTTGTTTTTTTTTTTTTAGGTTTATTTATTTATTCATGACAGAGAGAGAGGCAGAGACAGGCAGAGGGAGAAGCAGGCTCCCTATGGGGAGCCGAATGCAGGACTTGACTCCAGGACCCCAGGATCACAACCTGAGCCAAAGGCAGACGCTCAACCACTGAGCCACCCAGGTGCCCCAAAAAACTGTATCTTAAATTCACAAATATATTCTGAAACTAAGATGCTCATTTCAAAGTACTAAAAGTAACATTTTCTAATTAAACTGTGGATTTGCCGGCAGCCCCGGTGGCGCAATGGTTTACTGCTGCCTGCAGCCTGGGGTGTGATCCCGGAGACCCGGGATCGAGTCCTAAATCAGGCTTCCTGTGTGGAGCCTGCTTCTCCCCTCTGCCTGTGTCTCTGCCTCTCTCTCTCTCTCTGAATAAATAAATAAATCTTTTATAAATAAAATAAATAAATAAACTGTGAATTTGCCAGGAGAGTAATGCCTTATTTTTTTAAAAGCATGCTAATACAGGTTCATAAGCTAATGAGTAAGTATATTATGGTAAACATTTCACAAAACATTCCATTTTTAATTACATCATTTTATAGGTCTCTTACTTTAGCATATACTGATTATCATACGGAAAAAATATAAAAATTGTACAGAACATAACTGAATTTTCTTAAAGTCTTCAATAATACTTGGTCATTTTTAGAACTTCAATGATTCTGGATAATGAATACAAATAATTATACTTAGGGGTGGCTCCTACTGAACCCTTAAACCAGGGGTATTCCTTCATTCCATGTATAATACATTTGGAAAATAACATAAATAATGATTTTAAAAGTATGATAAACATTTAAAATCTATTGTTCCCTGAAGAATTTAATAATAATAATGTTTTATACATTTTTATAAAGCATTACCAAATCTAGCCTTGGAAAAATCTAACTAGTGCATTTTTCTGTGAAACAAAATTTATGTATTCTCTTAACTGTTAAATGTTTATATCACAATTTAACCTATGGACCAAAAAAATAAAAAATAAAAAATAAAAATAACCTATGGACCAAAGAAAGAACTACCGATATGAAAAATCAACATAATTCAATACAATACATCACAACTACATGTGATAAGGCATTACTAAATAGACACCTTAATTTAGAAGTAATCAAAATATTTCAAAGAGGATTTGGGTTTTTCAAAACGATAACAATTCTGTATGAATTGCTTAAAACATTAGAATTAGTAACAGTAGGGCAGCCCAGGTGGCTCAGCAATTTAGCACAGCCTTTGGCCCAGGGCGTGATCCTGGAGACCATGGATCCAGTCCCACATTGGGCTCCCAGCATGGAGCCTGCTTCTTTCTCTGCCTGTGTCTCTGCACCACTCTCTCTCTCCTTCTCTCTGTCTCTCATGAATAAATAAATAAAATCTTTTTAAAAAATTAGTAACAGTATTAATAATACTGGAATTTTCACTTCCCTGAACAAAGCTAGCATTTTAGTTGACCTTTAAAATATAAATTACTGGGACGCCTGGGTGGCTCAGTGGTTGAGCGTCTGCCTTCCGCTCAGGGTGTGATCCAGGAGTATGGGGATCGAGTCCCACATCGGGTTCCCCACAGGGAACCTGCTTCTCTCTCTGCCTCTCTCTCTGTCTCCCACGACTTAATAAATAAAATTTTAAAAATAAAAAAAATAATAAAATAAAATATAAATTACTGAGTCTAATCACCAATATTTGTTCAAACATACTCTTGATCATCTTTTTTCTTATTCGTTCAATGTTGCTCCCCAATTACTATATTTGATCACTTTATTATAGCAATAATATCATACTCTTTAACATATAAATTTCTATTAATTTAGAGTTTAGTGGAGGTACATTTACAAATATATTTTTTAAAATTCCACAAATAAAACAAAACTAGATACCTCACAGTTTTTCCAAAGTTCCAAATCAGTCTTTCCACTGTTTTGTAGCTCTTGCATTAAAGAGGTGAGGACTTCAAGTGGACCTTGAATTACAGATGGTCTGGTCTTCCCTGAGAAAGAGGATACCCCATTTGTACTAAGGTGGGGACTACTTCTGTTGAAACATAAATAATTCAAATGGTTTTCTTCATTCTACAAAGTGTTGAATAATTCAGCAGTTCAAGTTTAGCAGAGTAGTACAAAACCACTGATATTTAATCCTTCTTAAGGGCACCTCATTTGTTTAAAATCTGATCACATTTGTCCACAAAAGGAAAACAGCAGTAAAAAGACAGCACATATTTCTTTAAAGAACCCCACAGAAAGACCTCCAGAAGTGAGAGAACACTCCAAAGCACTAGCAGAAAATAGAAGTTTCTGCTATACAATAATAAAAAGGTCCCAGCTTCTCCAATCTCAATCATTCCAGAGGATTATTTCACTCTACTGTAAGAACAGCCCTTTTTTTGTAGCGAAGATTCTTTCTCTACTGGCCAGACTGTAGTCAAGTCTTGTTAATTGGATCCCCCAAAGTGGGCTTGATAAGCCGATGCTTATCTTTGAACTATCTTTGAATAAAAGCTGTGCCAAGCAAATTAGCAGCAAATATTCAGGACTTAGCCTATTCATTATGTAAAACAGCACTGATTCTTTCCAGGAAGACTGCTTTCCCAAACTTGAGAGGAAGTTATTTCAGATTTGCTTTATAAAAACACAAAGCATAATTAAGGACAATCAACTCTGTTTAAAATCCAGTCTGGGGATCCCTGGGTGGCGCAGCGGTTTGGCGCCTGCCTTTGGCCCGGGGCGCGATCCTGGAGATCCAGGATCGAATCCCACATCGGGTTCCCGGTGCATGGAGCCTGCTTCTCCCTCTGCTTGTGTCTCTGCCTCTCTCTCTCTCTCTCTCTCTGTGACTATCATAAATAAATAAAAATTTAAAAAAATATTTAAAATCCAGTCTGGGGGCTCTGTGTCTCTCATCAATCAATAAAATAAAATCTTAAAAAAATAATAAAATAAATAAATAAATAGATAGATAGATAGATAAAATCCAGTCTGGGGGTAGCCCTGGTGGCGCAGCGGCTTAGTGCCGCCTGCAGCCCAGGGCATGATCCGGGAGACCCTGGATCGAGTCCCACGTCAGGCTCTCTTCATGGAGCCTGCTTCTCCCTCTGCCTGTGTCTCTGCCTCTCTCTCTCTGTCCCTATGAGTAAATAAATAACATCTTAAAAAAAATAAAAATAAAAAATAAAATAATAAAATAAAATCCAGTCTAAGAGGTCATTTTCATTTATTTATCGATACCCTACATTGTTTCATAAAGAATTCATTAAAAAGGGGATCCCTGGGTGGCTCAGCAGTTTAGTGCCTGCCTTTGGCCCAGGGCATGACCCTGGGGTCCCAGGATCGAGTCCTGAGTCAGGCTCCGGCATAGGCTGAGCCTGCTTCTTCCTCTGCCTGTCTCTCTGCCTGTCTCTCTCTCTCTCTCATGAATAAATAAAAATCTTAAAAAAAAAAAAAAACACCCTCAAGAAAATAACAAAAAAAATAGCAATGAGGAAGATCAGAGACAGATTAATAAAAATTCAAGGGAAAGAACATACATGTTGTCCATAATGGGTTTAACACGGTTGTATAATAATTAAGTCTAAATTTGACCGGTTTAACTGCCAGTCAAAATGAAAAGAGAGACAAGTTCAGTTACATAATTTCATTAGAAGGGCACATTTAGGGGGCATCCAGCTGGCTCAGTTGGTGGAACACATGACTCTTGATTTTGGGGTAGTAAGTTCAAGCCCCATGCTGGAGGTAGAGATTACATTTTTAAAAAATTTTAGGGGTGCCTGGGTGGCTCAAGATGTTGAGCATCTGACTTTGGCTCAGGGCATGATCCCAGGGTCCTGGTATCGAGTCCTGTACCGGGCTCCCTGCGAGGAGCCTCTCTCTGCCTGTGTCTCTGCTTCTCTGTCTCTAATGAATAAATAAGTACAATCTTTAAACAAATAAAAATAAAAAAATTTTTAAATAAAATATTTTTAAGGGGGGGGGGCCACCAAGTGATACAGGAAAAAGACTTTCACTATGTGGGTATAGATTACAAAGGCAGACATCTCTCCTGAACCATTTCCCATACACATTTCCCCTGCTTTCACTCTGCATTCTTGTTTCATATGTTCTTGTAAGCTGCTTTAAATTCCTCCAAAGGAGGGAAGAGAATGAACAAACTTTTTAAAGAATTAATGCATTTAGGGAAGCCCAGGTGGCTCAGTGGTTTAGTGCCGCCTTCAGCCTAGGGTATGATCCTGGAGACCTGGGATGGAGTCCCACATCGGGCTCCCTGCATGGAGCCTGCTTCTCCCTCGGTCTCTGTCTCTGCTTCTCTCCTCTCTCTCTCTCTCTCTCTCTCTCTCTGTCTCTTATGAATAAATAAATCTTAAAAAAAAATCTAAAAAAAATTAATGAATTTATTTACTATACACAATTTCTTTAAGATCTATTATGGTTAGGGACACCTAGATGGCTCAGCTGGTTAAGCATCTGCCTTCAGCTTGGGCAGTGATCCTAGGGTTTGTGGTCAAGCCCCACATGGAGCTCCCTGATGAGCAGAGTCTACTTTTTCCTTTCTCCCTCTCCCCCTGCTCAAGCTTGCTCTAACACATAGACATTTGACCCTTTACCAGTAGGTCCCAGACTGCTGTGTTGTTGCTTCATTGCACCTGCTTGTTATAGCTGGTCTCCTCTCTCTTGGGCTCTGCCTCTTTACTGTTTTTAAGTACCAGAAATTTAGAAATCAAATAATCACATTTTTCAGATTATGTACAAAATGAGAGCAAATAGGCTCTAAATAAAAACAAATCAAACAAGGGATGCCTGGGTGGCTCAGCAGTTGAGCATTTGCCTTTGGCTCAGGCCATGATCCTGGGTCCCAGGATCGAGTCCCATATTGGGCTCCCTGCATGGAGGCTGCTTCTCCCTCTGCCTATGTCTCTGCCTCTCACTCTGTGTATCTCTCATGACTAAATAAATATTTTTTAAAAAATGGGATAGTTTAAAACGAAAATGCAAGGGAGTGGTTGAGTGTGTGCCGTGATCCTAGAGTCCAGGAATCAAGTCCTGAATCGGGCTCCCTGTAGGGAAGTCTGCTTCTTCCTCTGCCTCTCTGTGTCTCAAATAAATAAATAAATAAACAAACAAACTGTAAAAAAAAAAAAAAAAAAGAAAGAAAGAAGAAAGAAAATGCATAAAATGCATTGTTCGACAGCATACTAAGGTATGTTTCTTTGCTTACTTCCTAGTATTCAACTTTGCTACTTTCCCACATAGGTGAAGTAGTCCTGAAATATTAAACATTTAAAATGTAGAAATATTTAGGCAACTAAATTTTAAAGAAATGCTACAATCTATCAGAAATTTTTAAAAGTAAAACAATATTTAAAAAAAAGAAATTTTAAAAAGTGTAAAGAGAACTATAATTAGGAAAATTTCTTTTTCACAATGTTCCCACACAAAAGGACATGGCCTCTGGGATAAATGAAAAACAGAGAAAGACTGAAACTACTCTTAACTTAAACAACTTATCCCTGAACACTTCCTGGTCACCAGCTGTTGTTGTTATTTAAATGGGAACAAAAAACTATGACACTATTTGGGTAAATTATGCAAATAAACTTATTTTGTTTTGTAGTTACATTAATAAAATAAAAATCTACCTATCCCATTCTTACCTATTAGTATTTAAGTTCAGTCCAAAAGGGGGAGAATTTTTTATATCAGATTCTACAGAACATGAAGTTTTTCGTAAGGATTTCACCAAATCAAAATCTTCCATAGTGTACAGAAATTGTTATACTCTCTTATTTGAAAATGTAGGTTCTTTCAATGTTTGAAGAAACTGAATCCGAGTCATCTTCAGATGCTTCATCGTCTACAGGCATTTTCAGTTGCTAACATTCAGAACTGTGAAATATTCTAAGCTCCCAAGAGTCTGAAAATGAATGGAGGAAAAAAATACTATAAAAAGCCACTAAACCTAGCAACTGTCTTTTCACTACTTTGGAAATCTTCATCCTTTTATACAAGTCTACAGTAAGAAGAGCAACAGTTTAATAGTCAAAATGCAAACAGCCCACATGTTCATCAATTGATGAACAGAAAAACAAATGTGCTGTATTATATACATAAAATGGAATATTTCTCAACCATAAAAAGGAATAAGGGTGCCTGGGTGGCTCAGTGGTTGAGCATTTGCCTTCAGCTCAGGTTGTGATCCTGGGGTCCTGGGATGGAGTCCCGCATCAGGCTCCCTGCAGGGAGCTTGCTTCTCCCTCTGTGTATGTCTCTGCTTTTCTCTGTGTTTCATATGAATAAATAAATTCTTTAAAAAAAAAAAAAGGAATGAAATATTGATACATACTACAATGTGGATAAACACTGAAATATTATGTTTAAGTAAAAGAAACTCAGTAAAAGATCACATGGTGTAGGATTCCATTTATGTGAAAAATCTAGAATGAGCAAATCTCTTGAGACAAAAAGTAGATTTATGGTTGCCAGAAGTTGGGGGAAAGAGACAAGAGAAGTGACCAAAAATGGGTATGGAGTCTATTTTGGGGGTGATGAAAAGTACTGGAATTATATAGTGGTGATGGCTGCATAACCCATCTGTGAATACACTAAAAACCTATGAATTGTACACTTTAAAGGGATGCATTTTATTTATTTTTTTAAAGATTTTATTTATTATTCATGAGAGACAGACAGAGAGAGAGAGAGAGAGAGGCAGAGGCAGAGACACAGGCAAAGGGAGAAGTAGGCTCCTCGCAGGGAGCCAGATGTGGGACTTGATCCTGGGTCTTCAGAATCACGCCTCTGGGCCAAAGACGGTAGCCACTGGAGCCACTGGAGCCACTCGGGCTGCCCAAAGGGATGCATTTTATGAGGTGAATTATATCTCAAAAATCTACAATAAGGATCATTTGCAAAAAAAGTAGCATCATCTTTTCCCTGTAGTATTTCAGAATTTTATGTGTTTAATTATTAAGTTTCTAGACACAATTCTACTCTAACAATTGGAATACTTATATGCTTTGTTCATTTATTTATTAAGTTCTACCAAGGATCCATGCTTGTTGATCTACACATCAAATAGATAAATCAGAACGACTTAGTATTTAATTTAGTATTCAACACAGCCAATCAAATGGTTGTTTCTCCATTGGCTGGAAGGTAGGGGTGGAAGAAATGCATTTTGCACTCTAAGCATGTATTACTTGTTTAAAAACCATTTGCCTGGTCAACTAAAAAAAACCTAATTGATGCAGGTTAACTGATGCTAGGTGTATGGAGGCAAACTGGCTACAACAAATCAAACACCATGCTTCCTTCTTAGGGAATTCATGTATTTTTTTAAAAAGTGAAGGAACAAGTGCCTGGGTGGCTCAGCAGTTGAGAGTCTGCCTTTGGCTCCGGTCTTGATCCTGGGTCCTGGGATCGAGTACCACAGTAGGCTCCCTGCTGCCTATGTCTCTGCCTCTCTCTCTCTCTCTCTCTCTGTGTCTCTCATGAATAAATAAATTCTTTAAAAAAAAAAAAGTGAAGGAGCAAGAGAAAAACAAAAATCTATGCCGCTTACAAGATAAAAAGTTTAGAGAGTGCAAGAGAGGAAAACCACCTAATATTCTGATTCCATTTCCTAGGGACTAGTTTTATAAAGCACAACCTTAAAAAAAAAAAATCACTTCATAAAAGAACCATTTCCTTCAGGGAGATAAAGGTTTGTGAAAGCCAAGGGTAACCAGACCTACCTAAATGGATTTCTCCCAGGGGGCTCAGCCCATCGCCAACCACAAATGGGGTACTGAAAAAGTCTGGAGCTGCATCTTCCAACTGGCAACGAAAATACCTGGATCCAAATCACCCTGCTCTTCTACTGGGAAAACACAAGCTCTCCAGGGACCTGGATCTGCAACCCCATCTATTATCCTCCACCACCTCCAGCACCGCCGAGATAATCCGGATGCGGAAGATGCAGCAGGAAAACCACTCGAGATGCAAAGATGCTTCTCCAGCGGCGGAGGGGGTGGGGATGGGGGCGGGAAGGAAGAAGGTGAGGGGGGAGGGGACCACGACATAAATGCGAAATTTCTTTTAAAAAGACAATATAAAACGAAACTCGATGGACAACCGATATAAACACAGAAGACATTTTTGTATGTCCCGGTAACGAAATGTTGTGCTCTCGGTCCCCATGACCCCGGGGGGGGGGGGGTAAAGAAAATAAAAGAACAAATCGGGGTCTGCGGACCCTAAGGAAGTGAAACCGGCGCTGCGCTTGCTGGAAGCCTGGGGGTGGGGGTGGGGGGGGTAAGGAAGAGAGAATTCCAGAGGTTTTGAGGCCAGATCCGGGCATCCTCGCCCTCGCAGGCAGACCTCAACGCGCCTGGCGGCTCCCGGGTCAAAGGGGGATGGCGAGGGAGAGCCACCGAACGCAGCCGCCTACCCCGGAGGCCGCGGGGAGGCGGGAGGAAAAGCCACCGCTCCAATAACTTCTATCATGATTCCCGAAGTAAACTAAGGAAGACCGTCCAAAAAAAAAAAAAAAAAGAAGAAGAAGAAGAAGAAAAATCCCACAAGCCTCCGCCCCTCGGGAAGAAGCGCTCCGCGATTGGGCCGCGCGGGTGTCACTCAAGGGCACGGAGTCTAGAAAAGGCGAAGCCCCCACACGCCGCAGGGATGAGGTGGGGTTGCGTGGCGTGGCCGTCGTCCTCCCCCGCCCTAGTCATCAGGACACTTGGGGTTCTTCCGAGGCCGCGTCTTCCAAGCCTCGTCCGGCGACCGCTTACCTGGCCGCTGCTCCCACAGCCGATGTCGGGGTCGGGCAGCGGCCTCTCGCGGCCGTTAAACTCCAGAGAGCGTGCGCGCGCCCGGCGCCCTGCCTGCGGGATTGGCTGCTGGAAAGGAGGCGGAGACGGCCGCGCCGCGACGCGCGCGGCGACCTCCCCTCCCCCCCTCCCCGCCCCTCACGCCAGAGGGAGGTCCGACGCCTGGGAAACGAAAGGAGGCGGGGCTTCTGCCAAAGTCCTCTGATCTGCTTGGTTCTCTGCAACGCTACGGACCGCACGCGAAGAGGAGTGCCCGCCTCCCGCATGCGCAGTTGGCAAGAATGAGCCTAGGGCGAGCGGGGGCAGCCACGGCGGAAGGACTGCGCGTGCGCAGACGCTGGGCCGCGCCTGCGATCCACAGGTCGTGGTTCGCTTTGCCCCAGACGTTGCGGGTGGGAGGCCAGCCCTGAGGCCAGGTAAGCGTCCGTAGGGAAGCCAGCCAACCCCTACGGTTGCCCACGAATGTCAAGGGCTCTGGAGAAAGGACTGGATGTTGGGACGACCCAGCACGCGACCCGAGCCGCACAACCAGTTGACCTGAAGCCCCGCTGGCGGTGCGGTGCAGCTGGCCCAGACGCTAAGCTAAGTTTTCTCTGCACTTGGTTTACCCTAGACTGCTGGGAGTCGGCCCTGGGGTTCTTCCAGGGCCTGGGTGAGGAGGGGAGGGCAGCCCGCTGGCCTGGAGAAAACAGTTGCACTGAGGCCCAAAAAGAAACGGAACCACCTTCATTGCCTTTGTTCAGCAGAGTTTTATGGAGCTTTTTGCACGCAGCAGGTGCTGTTTCAGACTGGCGTATGGTAGGTGTCAGCATTGCTCTTGCCCGGCCTTTGGAAAGACCCCAGAGAATCCGTGTGCCTCCGTGTGGACCCAGGCCATTTCATCCTCTCTGTTCTGTTCACATTCTCAAGACTAGTTAAGCTCTAAGGCCAGCTCTTGTATTGCCCCCTCCAAGGGTCCGAAGTAAAGGACCTTGGCTGGCCCCGTCGTGTAGAAGTGGCTGAGAAGCCAGGACACACGCGATCTATTGGCAAGAATGACAGCTCTGCAGGGCATTCCGTGTCCCCCTGAGCCTCCTAGTAATTAGGTCTCAAACAAAAAATTCAGTCTGTATCCAAAGCCCCATCTGTGTATGAAAGATTTCAAGCTTAAATAAATTTAAGCCCCACCCCGCCCCACTGTGAGTCCCATCCAATACTATGCTCATATAATACCTAACTGAAATCAAACTGATTTTAAGCACATGGCTCTGCTGCTGATTTCACTGACCATGTTTCAGGCCCACCAAAAAAAAAAAAAAAAAGGTCAACACTAATTTCAGTTAGTCACAAAATCTATTACTTGAGACATCATAGAATCTTTTACACTCAGAACTGAGAATTGTGAATTACTGAGACATCCCCAAGCAGACAGAGTTGTATTTCCTTACAAGAAAAATATTAACCCCTAAATTGAGTACTAGCCATTATTTCCTAACCATGCAAGAGGCAGGAAATGTTCACTTTTGGCCACAAAGTCAGATGGGTTCTGTTCAGTTTAAGCATGTGGGCTTTTGGTTTTTTGGTTTTGGCTGTGTGGTTTTAGATAACTTTTTATCTATTAATGTCTTAATAAGACAGTATAAGAAGAGCAATATTCTGGCTAACCAAATTATCTTGTTAATGTAGTGAAATATTTTGATAAGGTTGCTCATACCATATTTTACGCTAAGCTCTTTGGATGGGTCTTAAAAAAAAATCATTGGAAATTGCCTTTGACTCTTTGGACTAAAGAGAAAAAAATACCTCTCTCAAAGCTTTATAAACAGCTAAAAAGGTAGTTTTTAAAGTCCAGAGACAGGACAGCTCCGGTGGCTTAGCGGTTTAGCGCCGCCTTCAGCCCGGGGTGTGATCCTGGAGACTAGGATCGTCGGGTTCCCTGCATGGAGCCTGCTTCTCTGCCTGTGTCTCTGCCTCTCTCTGTGTCTTTCATGAATAAATAAATAAAATCTTTAAAAAAAAAAAAAGTCCAGAGACATTATTTCTGAATATAGGAAACAGAAGTAGGAGGCTTGAGAAATTCCAGTAAATGCATTAAGTGTAATAGCCATTCATCTAATCTAAACCATCCTAAAACTTTAATCCCATCCTGGAGACTTTGCACTACTTGTATGCAAACTGACACCACTATTTTATGGCTTTTATGGTGATATGGTCACTATATAGTTTTATTTTTATTTTTATTTTTTTTTAATTTATTTATTTATTTATGATATTCACACACACAGAGAGAGAGAGAGAGACAGAGACACGAGCAGAGGGAGAAGCAGGCTCCATGCACCGGGAGCCCGATATGGGATTCGATCCTGGGTCTCCAGGATCGCGTCCTGAGCCAAAGGCAGGCGCCAAACCGCTGCGCCACCCAGGGATCCCTAGTTTTATTTTTAACATCAAATTACTGAAGTATCTCTTTGACCTTGAAGGCTTCAAACTGACTTTTGAGTGGAGATCTTTGACTTGATGGGGATAAGATTGTGGTATTTAGTGTCTCTTAACCCCTGCATTGCTACTCTTTGGTGGTTATGTCCAAACTGTCATAGGGGGCGGGAGGGGGGGGGTACAGTTCTTCACAGCAGGAAAAAAAAAAAAAAGAAGAACATAAAACTTTAAATCTAGTTAAACATGAAATCATCAGACGTATATTAAAATATAAACTTTGTCACCTTTTTGTCTTTCACGATTTTTCTTACTCTATTAGATAATTCCTAAAGATCTCCATGTTTAAGCCAGGACTTGCTTGGATGAAGGTGGTGATTTATCTTTCCATGTGAGCCTGCTAAGGAAGTCAAACTGTATTCTTGGCATTATAATTATCTCCTTGGCACCTGATTTCATAGACCACAATTATGACCTCACCAAATAGTACATCTTTGGTCATTTCATGGTTTTCAAGTACTAATCTTAAATTGAACCATACCAGGTGAAATAATTTTCAGGTCACCATTCTATATGCCTTTCACTCTGTGCCCTAAAACAAGTATACAGGGCAGCCCTGGTGGCTCAGCAGTTTAGCACCGCCTTCAGCCCAGGGCCTGATCCTAGAGACCCCGGATTGAGTCCCACATCGGGCTCCCTGCATGGACCCTGCCTTTCTCTGCCTGTGTCTCTGCGCCTCCCTCTCTCTCTCTCTCTCTCTCTCTCTCTCTGTCTCTTATGAATAAGTAAATAAGTCTACAAAGGGGTGCCTGGCTGACTCAGTTGGAAGAACATGGGACTCTTGATCTCCTGGTCATGAGTTTGAGCCCCACGTTGGGTGTAGAGATTACTTAAATAAATTTTTTTGTAAAAAGCCTATGAAATAATCTGTTTCAGATTAAGTTTATGAGATAAGACCACAGTTTATGTAGTGTGTTAGTCAAAGGCTCTTCAGCTTTTAGTTTAGGGATCCAAAGTACTCCTAAGGGTTCTACGTAGTAGAGACACTACTTTTTCTTCTCACCCTAGGTGGTATTTTACAGATGAGGAAATGTGGCCAAAGCTGCACAGTGAGTAAATCATGAAGCCAAGAGTGACTACAGAGCAGTGTGGCCTTTAAGGGACAAAAAAATGAGAGGAACCGTCCAGAAAAAATTGGGGAAAATGAGCTAACACTTAAGGAGCTGGGAAACGACAGATCTAGAGATACCATGAAAGCTAAAAGTAGAAAGGATGAAAAAGCTGTAGAAAGGATAAGTTTAGTTTAAAAAATGGAATACCTGATGGAAGCAGCACCTGGGTGGCTCAGTTGGTTAAGCATCTGCCTTCTGCTCAGGTCAGGATCTCAGCTCCTGGGATTTGAGTTGCACTCAGCTGGGAGCCTGCTTCTCCCCCTCTCCCTCTGCCACTCCCCCTGCTTGTGTGCTCCTACTCTCTCTCTCTCTCTCTCAAATCTTTTTTAAAAATGGAATACCTAAGGTTCTTCCAAATCTACCTGAGATAATCACTTTTCTTTATCTGCGTCAAATACGATAATGTATTTGAATGTGCTTTGATAGCATTTAGGTCCTAAACAGGGCAGCCTGGGTGGCTCAGCAGTTTAGCACTGCCATTGGCCCAGGGTGTGATCCTGGAGACCTGGGATTGAGTCCTGCGTCAGGCTCCCTGCATGGAGCCTGCTTCTGCCTGTGTCTGTGCCTCTCTCTCTCTCTCTCTGTGTGTCTCATGAATAAATAAATAAAATATTAAAAAAAAAAGTCCTAAACAAATATCGCAACGCCCACGTGGCTCAGTGATTGAGTGTCTGCCTTTGGCTCAGGGTGTGATCCCGGAGGTCCAGGATTGAGTCTCCCATTGGGCTCCTTGCGGGGAGCCTGCTTCTCCTCATCCTGTGTCTCTGTCTCTCTCTGTGTGTCTCTCATAAATAAGTAAAATCTTTAAAATATATATATATATAAAATTTAAAAATTATATGTATAAGGAATCATTCATGATAATAGATTCATTCATCATTATCATCCAAAATAATACATTGTCTGACAATTTAAGGACACAGAGTGTTATTACTGCTGCTTTTTCTTGTGTTTCTGTCTTAATTTAACTGTGTAGTTGATAAAATTATAAAGTTCCTGTTAGAAGCCATAAATAGAAGAAAATCACAGCGATGCACACAAATAGGACAGGTGTAATTCTCTGTGGATTCAGTTTTCTGTTTAAGGAAAAAAAAAAAACACTGAATGAGATGTTAGTGTTGTATGAATTGAAAGCTTTTCTCTTCATCTACTTCGTTAGTTGTCTCTTGAACTCTGCTGCAGGGAGCCTATTAAATTGAGACCAGAACCAGACCATTCTTCAACATGGCATTTCCTGCGCAATCTGTTACGTTTGTCTTATTTGAGAAATAATTCCCTGCCAACACTTCCTGTGAGTGAAAGGTGCTTTATCTTCAGAGGGAACCCCCAAGCCCAGGAAAGGACATGGTCTGTTTCAGGCCTCAGCCGTAGCCCCCAGATGTTCCATTCTGGGAGATGCTCCAGCCCTGGAAAGGACTCCAGACAACCAACCCAGGAGGATGAGCTAGATGGAGTAGGTGGGAAAGTAGCTGCTTTGTTTTAACTCCCATTTTGCAGGGAACAAGCACCAAAAACGTATTAAGAAACATGAATGATGCTTAAGCCTTTCTCAGAAAATCATCCTCTCACTTGGCTTTTGATGCCATCAGCTGGCCATTTGTCTCTTTAAAGCTGCACCATTGCACATCGGCCTGGTCAGGTTCACTGTTTGGTCCTTCATCATTGATTAGATCACTGTTTTGAGACCTATCACTTTATTTCCTATTGTGGAAGGGAAAACAGGACCATGACCAAGCAGGTAACCTGCACTCCAGAATTCTGGCCTCAACTTCTTAAACATAAACATAAGAAACAACAGCTTTTAAAAGTGTCCTAGCAGCTGGAAGAACTTGCTGGTTCCTGTGTTCTAGTAAAATGTTTTGGGAAAATAAATAAAGAAATAAAGAAATAAAGAAATAAAAATAAATAAAATGTCTTGGGAGTCTGTGCCTCTGAGTCACCTGCAATTTTTTTTTAAGATTTTATTTATTTGTTTGTTTGAGAGGGAGAGAGAGAGAGAGCACAAGCAAGGGGAGCAGCAGGCAGAGGGAGAGGGAGAAACAGGCTCCACTGAGCAGGGAGCCCAACTGAGGCCTGATCCTAGGACCCCAGGATCATGACCTGAGCCAAAGGCAGACGTTTAACTAACTGAGCCACCCAGATGCCCCTTACCTGCAGATCTTAATAAAATGCAGGTTCTCATTTAGGAAGTCTGAAGTAAGTAGGGCCTGAGAGTCCACATTCCTAACAAGTTCCCAAGTGGTGCTGTTGCTGCTTCTAGACCATAATGAGGAGCAAGATTCCGGAGCTACATGGTCTGATATGAGCATTGAACACACCCCACGTTTTGAAGACATCATATAAAAAATAAGATATCATAATTTTTATATTGATTACATATCAAAATAATATTTTGGATACCCTGGGTTAATATTTATATTATATATATATATATATTAGCCCGGGTGGCTCAGCAGTTTAGCGCCACCTTCAGCCCAGGGCGTGATTCTGGAGACTTGGGATCGAGTTCCGCATCGGGCTCCTTGCATGGAGCCTGCTTCTCCCTCTGCCTGTGCCTCTGCCTCTCTCTGTGTCTCTCATGAATGAATAAATAAAATCTTTTTTAAATATAAATAAAATATTTTTTAAAGATTTATTCATTTGAGAGAGAAAGAGTGCATGCATGAGCTGGGGGAGGAGGAGAGGGAGAGAGAACCTCAAACAGACTCCCTGCTGAATTCAGAGCCCAACTCAGGGCTTGATCTCACGAACCTGAGACCATGACCTGAGCCAAAATTATGAGTTGGACACTTAACTGAGTGAGCCACCCAGGAGCCCTTTTATTAACTAAAATGCATTAAATATATATCTTTAAAATATATTAACAATTTCATCTGAAGGTTCTTTTTACTTCATTTTTATTTTATTTTTTAAAGATTTTATTTTAGGGGCACCTGGGTGGCTCAGTGGTTGAGCCTGTGTCTCTGCCTCTTTCTATGTGTCTCTCATGAATAAATAAAATCTTTTCAAAATAACAAAAATTAAAAATAAAGATTTTATTTTAATTATTTTAAGTAGATTCCATACCCAGCTTGGAGCCCAGCTTGGGGCTTGAACTCACAACCCTAAGATCAAGATCTGAGCTGAGATCAAGAGTCGGACACTTAAAAAAAAAAAAAAGAGAGAGAGAGAGTCGAACACTTAACCGACTAAGCTACCCAGGCACCTAACAATTTTAAGTCATCTCTACATCCAGCGTATGGCTTGAACTTATAATCATGAGATCATGAAATGCATGCCCCACCAACTGAGCCCAGGCCCCTCATTTGACTGTTTTTAAGGTGACTACTAGAAAATTTAGAATTTCACATGTGGCCCACATTATGTTCATATCAGACACCGTTCTAGAACACTAATGTAATAAAAACATTATTGGTGTTCTTTTTTTTCAAAAAAGATTTTATTACTTATGAGAAAGTGAGCAGGGGGAGAAGCAGACTCACCGCTGAGCAAGGAGCCCAATGCAAGGCTTGATCGCAGGACCCTGAGATCATGACCTAAGCCAAAGGCAGATACTTAACTGACTGAGCCACCGTGGTGTTCTTTTTCAGATGACCCTTTCTCAATCTTTGTTTCCATTTCACCTTCTCTATTAGCTCAAATTAATATTCTTTTTTTTAAGATTTTATTTATTTATTCATTCATGAAAGACAGAGAGATAGAGTGCAGCAGAGGGAAAAGCAGGCTCCACGCAGGGAGCCCGACATGGGACTCGATCCCCGGTCTCCAGGATCAGGCCCTGGGCTGAAGGTGGCACTAAACCGCTGAGCCACCCGGGCTGCCCAAATTGATATTCATTTAATTATTTTCTCTGAATGTTTGCCTTTCCTGCCATTACTGTCCTTCCCCTATCTCCATCTTTGCCATCATCGTTCGGGAGCTCCCATCCAGTAGCCAGGCAGTCCTAGGAGCCACCGTACAGGCAAGCACCTTTGCTCAAAGTTTTTGGCTATGACACTCCGTGGTTTCTGAAGGCCAGAGCCTCACTTGGGAGCTGGTTAGGGACGCAGGTCTCTGGCCCCACCCGAGACCTATTGAAATAGTATCATCTCTAACAGAATCTCCATGGGGTATGTCTGCTCAGGAAAGCGTGCCACGGTGAGAGCTTTACCAATCATCTTTCTTAAGGCGCCCCCATTTCAGTTCATCACATCTGTTCCTTCAGTTGGATTTGATGAAGTTTCTACGAGGTTGAGATACCATGAAAGTTGTTGCCAAGAGAAACTAGCACTCTGTATCTCTAAAAAGATAGTGAGGCAGGGACTTTTGGGCAAATGGCATCCAGAAGGTGAGTCCAGAGATTGAAATCCTATGACTTCCTGCAAACAGACTCAAATATCCTTATCTCTCGCAGAGACATCACTGTCCCCTTCCCCCATCTCCAGAGCATTAGAGCTACTAGTGAAATGAGCCTCACCTTGCTGTGTCTAGTTTACATCTGTTTGCTGCAGTCCCAGGCCACGTTGCAGAGCTCAACGTACCATCCCTGCAGCCAGACATCTTCCTAGGCATGGTTGACTGTGGAGGCCTGAAGAGGAAATTTATGGCGACTGGTCCAGGTCAGGAAAGGGGGCACCTAACAGAATGCAAATCCCAAGTCCCAGTAGCAAGCAGTCCAAGTGACATGGGAGCACAGTCAAATCAGAGAACCACTGCTCTGTAGCACATTACCCATCCTGGGCTATGCCATCAATAGTATCGGGGCGGGGGTGCATCTTAATTTCTCTTTTATGCCCCACTCTCCTTGGGCTCCCCAAGGCTCATGCCTGGCACATAGTAAATGTTGAAAACATTCATTGAACAAATTAGCATTCCCTTTTGGAAAGTCCTGACACCTATTATCTCTGACTTGACCAAGTGGGAAGGGACTGGGACAATGAGACGCTTTAAGCCAAACTGCAATCAGCTGTTGAGCGGCAGAAGCCGTCCTCAGAGGAGAAACAGGGCTGAGGGGAAGTTGGGGTGGAGAGCCAGCCCTGAATCGAATCGCACACCCACAGAAAGGAATTAGGGCAAGCTGTCATGACTCCCGGTTTCCCCTTACCAACACTCCTTGTCACCATGTCACGATGAGCTCTAATTTGAGCTGCTTTTATTGTTCCCCAAAGACTTTTGCGTTGCTCTGTGAGTATCACAAAAACTGAAATCCAATCCGTATTTTCTGGGCTTTGGGGACGTGGAACCATGGATGTGTTTTGTCATTTTTAGCAGTCACTGGAGCAGAGCCAACGCTCCGGAGATACTAAAAGTATTTAGAATCGTCCGATTGGCTGTTGGAATTAGCCATTAAACAAAGCAGCCAGTAACCGAGCACGGGGGACCTATTTAAACTCCATTTGGGTGGGAGACCTTCCAGGGTGTGTGTCAGCTCCGAACTAGGACAGAAAGGTAGATTTGAAACACAGCGGGCCAGTGACAAAGCAGCTGATAAAAGCACTCTCCACCCTTGTCTGGGAGTTTTGCCTTGTCTCAGACTCACTTCCTTTCTTTGTCACTTGCACTCTATTCCAACGCTGTCCTGCCTGGTCAGATCTACTAACTAGCGGAAGAGAAACCCCAAAGGAGGCCCCGGGCTCATGTTCTGTAATGAATCTGATCCAGGGACTAGATGCTGTCTGGTACACAAAGGAATCTTGTTCTGCAGATTGAAAGCAGAAATAAGGGAAATTTTGGACATCGGCTTAGTCTCATTCACTCAATCATTTGCAGGGGAGTGGGCTCTTTGTCAGAGTGATTTCAGAAAAGTGCCTGTGTTTATCATTCATCTTCTGAGTGTATTTCTGAAAGACGTGACACACAATAAAACCAGTTTTTAAAGCGCGGCTTTCCCTGGCACGCTCTGTTTCAAAATCTCGCCCTTCACAGCCACAGAGCATCCTACCAACACCACATTAATTGTCACCCCCTGGGACTGACACACATAACTGAATGCCATACTTCTCAGAAAGAAGTTGCGAGTGTAGACCATCCTGTCAGTCACAGGATTGAAAATTAGCATGGGCACAAGGCCCGAAAAGTACATTTCATTATATTTATTTTCCATAGATTAAGAATACCGTATTGTCGTTTTAAAGAGGACCAGCATCCTCTCAGGGCCAGTACTCAGAGAGATACGTGTAAAGTAACAGAAATGTACATATTTACAAGGCAGCAGTGCCCAGTAGCATACGTCTGCAGTAAGCGTCCTCAAAGCTTGTTAGAGACCAGCATGGGCTCAGAGAAATTAGCAGCCTGAACTGACAGGGGGCAAAAGGTAAGTGAGCTGAGAGCAAACCTCCTGAAATTATTTGGTGCATGGTGAAGCTACTTTTGGCTTAGGGCATTGGCTTAGGTATCCACAGCTTCGTACCTATGTTAGAGACCAGTGGCCATCAGCTAGAATTTACAAGGTTTCAAAGGGTAAAAGCAGCTATTTAGAGCTTCAAAGGAAGCAGTTGTTAAAAAGGGCAGTGCATCTGTTTTTAGCACCTACATCATCCTGGATCAAGAATCCTGAAGCAAGTGGCACGTTCATAGTTCCCATAATCCACCTAAGCAACAGGAATTTTGCTAAAAACCAGTCTCATGACTTCAAAGGTATTCAATAAAACTCTTTCCAGAAGTCTTTTTCCCTCTGATCTTTAATCCTATGCAGGATAGGTGTGGAGAAGGGCTTAGTTACCCATTTTCCAGGTAAGAAAATAGGCCTACATTGTGACGTGTCCCTATTCGCATGGGAAGGTTACCCATCTCTGAAAAGAGCTAACACCTGTCAGCTCATTCTGCCTTCCTCCCCTGGAAGAAAGCCAAGGCCTGTGGGATTCACCACGTCCTGGTATCTGTTACTCTCGATACCATCCACTTGTCAAACAAAGACATTTCAGCCTTCTGCTACGTCTGGAGTAGCTATTTAAATATAATGGTTAAATACTTCTTTTTTAGCATCTTTTCTCCCAACTAGACTCTAAGCTCTATGAAGACAGAGGCTCACTCCTTCCCACCTTGCATCGCTCACTACGCCTCATATGGCATCCTGAACCATACAGGCACCTTAATAAAAATCAGTTGATTTGATGGTTCCAGGGATGAGCACCACTTGGATCATGTTATTGGCAGTGCGACTGAAGGAACAGATGTTCCTATTCAAATCCACGAAACTGGAAACATTAAAAAACAACAATCATGACATTGATTGATAGTGATATTTACTGTGTCAGACCGTGTAAGCTCAGCTATAAAATAGGCTCGCCTAATGTCGTCTTTACATTTTGATTTCAAAGATCCTCAAACGTTGAAATAATGTCGCTTGACTCAGATCCTGAGTCTTGCCTGATGCACTGTTTAGCGTTTATCGAATAACAGCCCTGTTCTTTTGTGTGTCACATTCAAAACCTTTCTTTCCTGAGAAAACAGCACCTCTGGGTGCTTCGAAGATATTTTCAATCTGTTGTAAGAAACTATTTCTCGGGACGCCCGGGTGGCTCAGCGGTTGAGCCCCTGCCTTTGGCCCAGGGCGTGATCCTGGAGACCTGGGATTGAGTCCCGCATCAGGCTCCCTGCATGGGCCTGCTTCTCTCTCTGCCTCTCTTTCTGTGTGTGTGTGTCTCATGAAGAAATAAAATCTTAAAGAAAAGAAAAGAAAAGAAAAGAAAAGAAAAGAAAAGAAAAGAAAAGAAAAGAAAAACTATTTCTCAGCTGAGAGGGCACAAGCCCTGAGATCACAGGAGATGCTCCAAGGCTGCAGTGGGTTATGCATTGCTGTCTCTGCTAACTTCCCAAATACCCCCACTTGACGGCTGGGTGGCCATTGCCTGAACCGGTTTATGAAAGGTGGTCCTAGAACCTGAAGTATAATCTTGAGAGTGAATGCATCTTCCTGAAAGGCTCTTTTTTTTTTTTTTTTTTTTTCTCCAACTCAGGTCCCAAGCTAGCAGAGCTCCTCCACATGAGTACCTCAAGTTTCTTTGGCTTGCTTGCACGACTGGCCAGACTATGCACCATGCCACAGGGCCTTGGACCTCAGGCAAAGCCAGTGCTGTCAGCCCCGAGAGTGGCAGTCACTATGGTCCAGGCGGCAGGCAAGAAGGACCGCCCTGCTCTGCCTCTCCTGGATGAAAGTGAACTGGAAGAGCAGTTTGTGAAAGGACATGGTCCAGGGGGCCAGGCCACCAACAAAACAAGCAACTGTGTGGTGCTGAAGCACATCCCCTCGGGCATCGTCGTCAAGGTAGAGGAGGAAGACTGCTGGGGGTCGGCGGGTTTCAGACGGCTTACAGGGCACCGTGAGTGACCGTGGTGACCGGCTAAAGTGTGTTCTCGTTCTGGCCCAGGCAGCGGCAAGCATCACAGATCCTGACTCTGGGCCCTGAGGCAGAACCTCCTGCAAAGCCTCAGAGCCTCTGTCCAGGGTCCCTGGGAACCAGGGGCCGCCTGCTGGCCTGGCATCTGGCAGGTGGCACACTTGTCGCAGAGCCTCTGGGCATGGAGAGTTCCGCGGCAGTGCCTGGGCTCTGGTCCCCAAGCATCACACCAACCTGGAGTGTCTGCCAGCAGTCCCAGCCCTCAGTGATCTGCTGTATCCCTCCGCCCCCTCTTTGGTACATGTCAGTGACACCTGTCCTTCTGAGAGGGAGGTAACACAGGCAAAGCATTTCTAACCCTCAGAACAAAAATGCGGTATGTGGCGCTGGCGCCTATAGGAGTCTTCCTTCTTTACAGAAAAAAAAAAACATTTCTGATCAGAGAGTCACCAGCTCTCAACACATCCTGGGCCCTTAGGAAATACTGAAATGCTCTGTCCCATTTCCACTACTAACAGATAGTGGCCCTGCTGCCTTCCAGTGGAACCGCCAATCCATTCTGTGTCTCCAGAGGGCCCTAAGTGCTGCATGAGCACAGGGCAGAGAAGAGATGGCAAGGCAGGTTCTCCACATGCCAGAGACTTGTGTCCCATAAATACGTGGTCAGCACTGGTCTGTGCAACTATACCCACAGCCCATCTTCATCCTCACAAGCCCTTACACCTTATCTTCATGGTACCAGTGTAGAATCAGGCACAGAGAGGTTAGTTAACTTGCCTGAGATCCCACAGCTGCAGGTATCAACCCAGACCAAGCCCAAAGTCTGTGCTCCTAACTGTTCTTCACTGCCAAGCATTTGAGCCAAGAGCCTATCAGTTAAAACCTCAATTAGTTTTGTTTTCCTTCTTGAGAAAAAAGTGTCATTCATGAGCAACAAATAAAATTCTGAAACCTGACCCGATTTTTAACTATTTTATAAACTTACTGCAGATTTGCTTTTGGTACTCTTCTTTCGTTCTAATTTCACACTTTTTTTTTTTTTTAAGATTTTATTTATTTATTCATGAGAGAGGCAGAGACCTAGGCAGAGGGAGAAGCAGGCTCCATGCAAGGAACCTGACGCGGGACTTGATCCTGGGTCTCCAGGATCACGCCCTGGGCCAAAGGCGGCGCTAAACCGCTGAGCCACCCAGGGATCCCCTCACAGAATTTTTTATCAAATAGCTTTGCAAGGCACTTGCCCTTAATAATTTAGGTATTAATCAAGGTTATGGCTGACTAATAATAAAGATGTTATCTTCCTCCTTGAGACAGAATTTTACTTTTTTTTTTTTAATTTTTATTTATTTATGATAGTCACAGAGAGAGAGAGAGAGGCAGAGACACAGGCAGAGGGAGAAGCAGGCTCCATGCACCGGAAGCCCGATGTGGGATTCGATCCCGGGTCTCCAAGATCGCGCCCTGGGCCAAAGGCAGGCGCCAAACCACTGCGCCACCCAGGGATCCCTTTTTTTTTTTTTTAATTTTTATTTATTACTTTTATTTTTAAAAAAAGAATTTTACATTTATAAATGGTGCAGACAGAGGGCTTATTCCCTGGCCACAAGCTAGACATATCAGCTGATATTTTCAAAGTTATTTGAGAACTTTAAATTATCAGAAGGCTATCATTGTTTCCAAACAAAGCCACACTCTTAATTATAAAACGATCGTGGAGAAAGCCACATAATACAGCGGGGTGGGGGGCAGAATGAAGCCTGAAAAAGGCAGGAGGGCTGATGGTCTCCGCTCTGTCACAGACTCACTGGGACTCTTGGCGAGTGGCCCATCCCCATCTGGAGAGTTACTAGGTTGAATCCGCAATTCCTGAGGTCCTGCCCAGAACAAACTTTTTCTCATTATGAAATACTCTCTTGCAGTGCCATCAGACAAGATCAGTTGATCAGAACAGAAAGCTGGCTCGGCAAATCCTACAAGAGAAAGTGGATATTTTCTACAACGGTGAAAACAGTATTGTTTACAAAGAAAAACAAGAGGCAGAGAAGAAAAAGCAAGAGCGGAAACGAAGAGCAAAGGAAACCCTAGAAAAAAAGAAGCTCCTGAAAGAACTCCGGGAATTAAGTAAAAACGTCCACTGAGAAAGAAATGAAGATGTTTTGTTGTTGCTTTGTTTTTAAGATCTCTGCACCCAACGTGGGGCTTGAATTCACAACCCCAACCCCAAGATCAAGAGTCTCCTGCTCTTCCAACTAAGCCGGCCAGGCACCCCTGAAAAAACTGCAGATTCTTTTTTTTTCCTTTAAGATTTTATTTATTTATTCATGAGATCAACAGAAAGAGGGAAGCAGAGACACAGGCAGAGGGAGAAGCAGGCTCCTCGCAGGGAGCCCGATGTGGGACTCGATCATGGGACTCCAGGATCACGCCCTGGGCTAAAGGCAGACACTTAACCACTGAGCCACCCAGGCATCCCAAAACTGCAGATTCTAACTAAAGAACTTGCCAGAGGCAGGGTGCCTGGCTGACTCAGTTGTTGAAGCGTCCCATTCTTGATTTTGGCTCAGTTCATGATCTCAGGATCATGAGATGGAGCCCCAAGTTGGACTCCATGCTGGGCATGGAGTCTGCTTGATTCTCTCTCTCTCTCTGCCTCCCTCCCACCCCCAACCTGCCCTCCTCATGCTCATGTACTCTCTAAAAAAATAAAAATAAAAAGGGGTCGTCATGATAGGACACTAGGAGGAGCCATGGATGGCTGACAAAGTTCTTTCTGGACCTGGGCAGTAATTAGAAGGATGTCACCAGACTTTGTTAAACTACACATTTGTGTGATTGTATCTTGCTTTATTACCAAAGGTTAAAAATAAAACTTTTTTGAAAAAAGCATTACTAAAGAAGGTCTTTTTTTCTTTTTCTTTTTTTTTGAAAACTGGAATGGAGTCAAACATTAGTGGCATTTTTGGAATGCTTAGCTGGCTCAATCAGTGGAGTGTGGGACACTTGATCTCAGGGTTGAGTTCAAGCCCCACATTGGGTGTAAATTACTTAAAATCTTTGTTTTTCAACCATTTTATTTATTTGAGAGAGAGCACAAGCAGGGAGAGGGGCAGAGAGAGGAGAAGCAGACTCCCCATAGAGCAAGGAGCCCAATGTGGGGCTCAATCTTGGGACCCTGGGATCATGAGGTGAGTCAAAGGCAGATGCTTAACCAACCGAGCCACCCAGACACCTCAGAAATAAAATGTTTAAGAAAAAAACCAAAAAAAAAAAAAAAAAAAAAGAAAGAAAAAAACCACACACACATTATGGCATTTAGTGCCACCATTCATCTGCTGGGAGGTTATTGCTCAGCGATACTTAGACATCCCTTAGCTTAATGTCAGACTAAGAATAAAAGAAAAACAAGGCAGAGAAAAGTAGACACGTGAGTATGGTAACCTGCCTGTTTATCCCATTAACTTAATAGACTGTGCTTTGCCAAGTATCCTGTGATGTGAAGACACAAGATGGGCGCCTGACTGGCTCAATAGGGAGAGCAGGCCACTCTTGATCTTGGGGTCATAAGCGTGAGTCCCATGTTGGGTGTAGAACCTACTTTAGAAAAATACCCACATTCCCTATATGTTGATTTACAAGTAAATTTATGAGTTTCCAGAAACCTGATTTGTGACAATTGTTTGGGGTTTTTAGGCACAGGGTAATAGCTTGGCTTGTCAGAACACATCAGGTGTTCACCCATAAAACAGGTAGGGGAAAAAAACCCTGAGGGGAGATAGTCCCTGTCAGACAGGGTCTGCAGGCAAAGCTAGCCCATTCTGCAGCCACAGACCGCATGCCCAGGGCATGTGTCCCAATAAATTTACCTTTAAGGCAGCCATCGAAGGCTCTTCTCACCTTGGAGTGAGCTGGATTAGAAGTTCCAGCATTGCATGCAAGGCTCTGGAGACCTGGTCGCAGCATCCAGGACCCTTCCCTCTGTGGACCTCCACTTAGAAGGTAGCCAAGCACCTGGAAGGGTCCATGACAAGTGGGTAAGGGTGGGAAGAGAACTCTGGGAGCTATGGACAGGAGGGACAGAGGCTTCAATCTGTCTCCTCTCTTGTACCTTTTGGGATTTGCTGTGAGGTGCGTGAAAGAGATGCAGACAAGCCTGCTCCTCAGAGCTGACTCTTAGCAGCCCAGCCCTTAGACCTATTGTGGCTGGGCCCTCACCTCCTGCCTGCAAAACTGACCACTTCCCTCATTTGTTTCTGTCAACCGCTCACCACAGTGAATCCTCACCACCTGGGAATTAGTGTCTAAGGAATGTGGTAAAAACCACCACAAGATCCCTTTGGAAGGCGCTGCTGGGGACCAGCACTCGAGTTCTCCACACATCAGCGCAAGCAGCTCTTCGCCAGCACCAGAGCAGGGGATCCTTCCAGTGAGCACCAGATGTAGCCAGCTGGACTTCAGTGGCTGCACATGAGAAACACATGCCTCCTGCACCCAGAAATGCTCCCAGGATAGATAACACATGAAAGCCCAGAATGGCCTCGTTGTGGGCAGGCAATGGACGCAACACTGACATTCTTGTTTTCTCCCCTGGTGACACTAAGTCTGCTGCAAGTAAAATGCACCAGAATGCAGCCTCATGTGACCCCCACCTTCTGACTTAAGCAAACCCGTTCCTTCCTCAGCCCACAGTGGTTACAGCATTGCATACAACAGGTTTCTGGAGCTAGGTGGGCAAACATTCTGTGACCGGGAGCTCCCATCTCATCGGAGCTGTTTTTTGTTTGCTTTGTTTTAAAGATTTTATTTACTTTTTTTTTAAGATTTTATTTTTAGGTAATCTCTGCACCCAAGGTGGGGCTTGAACTTACAAGCCCGAGATCAAAAGTTGCCCCTCTACCTACTGAGCCAGCCAGGTGCCCTGAGCAGCTGTCTTTTAAACTATCACTTAAGGGGCACCTGGGTGGCTCAGTCAGTTAAGTGTCTGCCTGCAGCTCAGGTTGTGATCTCAGGGTCCGGGGTCAGAGTCCTGCATCAGGCTCTCTGCTCAGAGGGGAGTCTGCTTCTCCCTTTCCCTCTTGTGCGCCCCCTGCTTGTGCTCTCTCTCTTGCACGCGCTCTCTTAAATTAGTAAAATAAAATAAGTAAAATACCACTTGAAAAATAATACCACTGGGGATCCCTGGGTAGCGCAGCGGTTTGGCGCCTGCCTTTGGCCCAGGGCGCGATCCTGGAGACCCGGATCGAATCCCACATCGGGCTCCAGGTGCATGGAGCCTGCTTCTCCCTCTGTCTGTGTCTCTGCCTCTCTGTCTCTCTCTCTGTGACTATCATGAATAAAAAAAAAAATTAAAAAAAAAAAAGAAAAATAATACCACTTAAAGATTCAAGGAACCCACACCTTATACAAATTGTTAATGAAAATAAGCTTTATTACATCAAGTAATAAATACATACAAAGATGCAAACAGTTTTAGTCATTTTCTTCCAGATGTTTGGACCAACTTACAGGAAAAGCAGAACTGAAATCCACACAGTCTTAGTAGGAAAATTTTGGTGGGGGAGGGGGAGTTCTTGTTAGGTTAGGTTTGGTAGGTTGCTCTTTCTTCTGTATTTATAACTTGTGCATTTTTTAAATTGACCTCAAAGCACTAATAGTCATGCAAGCAAATGCTTAATTAAGCTCAAAAGAAGTTACATTAAGCAGAATCCACACCATGTGGCAAACGTATGCACTCAAAACAAAACCCTCAAAGTTGTATTAGCTTATGAAAGATCATGTAAAACAATCTGAGTAACTTAAGTGTACTCCAAAAAGAGGATGAAAGGAGCTGGGATATCTGCTGTGAGATAGGGATCTTTTACGTGCATCTTTTAAATCAATGCTTAAAAAAAAAGAAAACAAAAAAATAAAAATGCTTAAAAAAATAAAAATAAAAATAAAAACAAAAAACCCTGGGTAATTCCTATTTAAAATGTAAATCCTAGTCAACTGCAAAGTATTTCTCAATCTCAGAGCCTCATGAACCATGGGAGGGACACGGGAAGGAGAAACCAAACTGTTACCATTTTGAAAACAAGAGTTTCATCTGAACATGGGAGATGAGCTGTAACTTCTGGTCTTGGAAGAAGATGGAAAACCTTCTACGCTGATAGGCAGCTAGGACCTGGCATTCCGTTCCGTCTCAGCCAAGCACTCTCGAACCAGTCCTCTGGCGTGAATGATGCCTGGAAGAGAAGAGGCTGAGAATCATCCAGCAGAACCCATTCCAGAAGAGGAAGAGGGCCTCCCTTCACAACCCAACTGAAAAACCCTGGCCCTGGAAAGAACTCAGGACCTGCATCCAAACCACCCCAGGATTCCAGCGGTTTGGAAACACACCAGCATCTCATCCCTCCTGAAAGGCCCTTGCCTCCTAGCCAAAACTCCTCTTCATGGCTCCCTAACAATCCCTTCCTGCACACAAAGGGACAACCAGCAAGCTCTCTCTGCCTGTCATGCTGTCAGAGTACAGAAGATGTGTCTCCATCCGCTTTCGTTAGGCCGGACCCACTCTGGAGAGTCCATGACTTCAAATCATATTTTTCTCTGGCTTCTTCATATTCTAAGTTCTAGAAAGGGCTTGTCCAATGTCCAGGCTGCACAGTTAGGATGCAACACTGCTCACCTAGGAGTGCCTGCATGGCTCAGTTAAGTGTCTGCCTTTAGCTCTGCCTCAGGGTTATAACCCTGAGGTCCTGGGATTGAGCCCCACATTGGACTCCCTGCTGGGTTGGGAGCCTGCTTCTCCCCCTCCCTTTGCTGCTCCCCCTGCTTGTGCTCTCACTTCCTATCAAATAAATAAAATCTTAAAAAAAAAAAAAAGGACTGCTCATTTATGTTCAACCATATCCGTTAGGACATTGCCCTCCAGGTGCCTAGAGCATCTTCTGCTCTATTACTCCCCTACCCATATTTTCTCTCTGGTTTGGTTGTTGGGTTTGTTTGCTGTGTTTTTTTCTTTTTGTTTTTTGTCATGGCCTTTAAGTGAACGCCATGAGATACTTATCTCATTTTAATAGACATTAGGGACGCCTGGGTGGCTCAGCAGTTGAGCACCTGCCTTCAGCCCAGGGCATGATCCTGGAGTCCCCAGATCTAGTCCCACATCGGCTCCCTGCATGGAGCCTGCTTCTCTCTCTGCCTGTGTCTCTGCCTCTCTCTGTGTCTCTCATGAATAAATAAATAAAATCTTTAAAAATAAATAAATAATAAATATCAAAAATCTATTCCCTCTAAGAGATGACTGCCAGAGGGCACTGTGAATGACATCCCCAAAGTCACGCAAGCATCCACATCTCACAAATCTTATCTCTGAGCTTCAGAAGACTTTTTTCTGGAAAGGGCCAAACAGTAAATCTCAGGCTTTGCAGGTCACATGGTCTCTGTCACAACTACTCAGGCAGCCATTATATAAGCAATGGGTGTGGCCATATTCCAATAAATCTTTATTTATGAACACTTAAGTTTGAATTTCAGATAATTTCCACCTGTCACAAAATCATTTTCCACCATTAACAACTAAAAACCAAGGACGCCTGGGGGGCTCAGCGGTTGAGCATCTGCCTTCAGCCAAAGGCGTGATCCTGGAGACCGGGGATCAAGTCCTGTATCGGGCTCCCAGTGCAGAACCTGCTTCTCCTTCTCCCTATGTCTCTGCCTCTCTCTGTGTGTCTCTCACGAAAAAATAAAATCTTTAAAAAAGAAAACGACAAACTAAAAATCATTCTTGGCTTACCAGTTACTGTTTGCTGACCTATCAACAATGCACCTGAGTCCATCATACCTTTTACAACTCTTCTTCACCTTGTTAGGACATAAACTTAGCTAACTTGTACTTGGCTACTAGTTAGCGTGACTGGGTGACCAGCTGTTCATGGGACACATGTCCCAGAGTGGTCATTAGACATATCCATAGGCTAACCTGAACCACTGGTTCTTTTTGGTGACTGCAAATCGCCTGTTCGACTTCAAGGTCCAGTACCTTTTTTAAAAATTTTTTTTAAAGATTTTATTTACTTATTCATGAGAGACACAGAGAGAGAGAGGCAGAAACAGCAGAAGCAGACTCCATGCGAGGAGTCCAATATGGGACTCAATCCTGGGACTCCAGGATCACGCCCTGAGCTGAAGGCAGACGCTCAACTGCTGAGCCACCCAGGTGTCCTAAGGTCCAGCATCTTTCCGGGGGTTCTCACTCAGGTAACCAGGACTCCAGGTGCCAGGACTGTCTTATTTCCCCTGACTCCAAACAGCAGCCCAGATGCAGAGTGACGCCCACCGGCCCCCCAGGGGTGGGTCGGGGTTAACCCCACCTCTATCAAGCCCTCTCCGGGTCCAGCCTCTATCTGTCAGCTCCCCTCCCCCACACCTGTGCCCGTAAGCACCCGGCCAGCCAGCCAATCTGTCCATGAAAGCCTGGTAAACAGCAGCAAAGCCCACTGCTATGGGCAGGAGCCTTGCCTACCACTGTGGGGTCACAGCCTCCACAGCAGCCCCTCTTTACATCCCAGGTTAACTTCAGACTTGCCTCTCCAAACTTCTGAATAAACACCAGATCCTTTCTGAAATTAAATTCGTACCTAGGCCACTGCTGCTCCGAATTGCCACCTTCTAAAACAGAAATCATCTTCTTCCCTCCACCCCATTTATTTCCTGAGGTAGCAGCCGATTTCACCTCCCCCTGGAATCAGCTGGTCAGTCACATCTTCACATGAGTCACTGGTTTTCTGTGACACCATATTCCTGCCCTTCCTTCCATCCTCAATCATGAAGGAATTTCAGTGTTCCTGCTCTCCCTCCCCAGACTAAGATAGACCCATTGGCCCCTTGGGCTCCGCTCCAAAGAGCTGACAACAAAGGGCAACACAGGACCCAGGACCTGACTACTCCTTGTCCCAGACCCACTCAGAGAAGGAAGCCTGGTGCATTTGTCCTCCTGCGGCTCCCTGGGACCAGTACCAGCCAACAGGAGCAGAGCAGGCAACAGACAAAGCTACAGATCTGGGCTGTAAAGATTCTGTTCTTAAAGCACATGGACCTTCCCAAGGAGCACGCAAAGCCTTCCCATCAGATCCCAAGGACAGTCTACACCCCATGACCGGCCCATTCCTGCCCCTGCTGATGCCTCCACAGATTAACCAAACAGGAGCCCCACGGGGCAGAGAGCGCCCCCCCTCTGGAAACCTCTCACAACAGTTAGCACCCAGCAGGGGGTGTCTGGATCCCGCTACTTACCTCGTTTTAGTCTCTCCATGGCGCTCTTGCTCCCTGCATAGGTGGGTCTAATCTCTTTCCCCAACTCTTCAATGATGGCCAGCAGCTCAGCATATTTGCTTTGGGGTACCTGGCTGTTCCCAGTTCCCTAAAATCAGAAGAAGTTTAAATGGATTGAACCCTATCCTGATCCTAAGGCCATGGTCAGGACCCTACCACATGCCAGCCACGGCGAGGGCAGGGCACAGGGAGAAGCCCACCGAGAGGCAGTGGCTAGAGGCAGGGCAGCCTGGCCTAGGTTCCCAGAGCTTCTGCCTCTGCTGGAACCGGCCACACGCTGAGAGATAACCACTGACCAGAAAACTGGGCCTCTCTACTGTCCTCCTACACTCAAGGAAACCACTAGCAGCCTCCAGAAGGCTTTAATCATCTTAAATGAGTAAAAGGACTGGTTTGTCTCAGCAAGTACTGGGTGCTTCCTAGGATCCAGGTGGATGCACCATCCCAGGGGAATGACAGTGGACAAGCTGTGGGCCATACCGTGGGGTCTGGAGAACTATAAATAATTGCCAAAGACCATCTGGACAGAATGTGTTTCCACTTACCCATCCTCCCCCTGCCAGCAGGGCCCACCCCAAAAAATCTGTTTTTCTATAAGCCCTCCCCCTCCACGGCCCAAGTATGCACCCAATGAGTGAGGCTGGGTCCCCGCAGCCCCCCCACAAGGCCCTCGCCTGCTCCTTCCTCCTCTGTTGCCTCTGTCTCCTGGCCTCCAGGGCCTTTCTCCTGTCCTTGCCCAGCTCCTCAGTGCCCTCCCAGTGCCGCCTCTTGGCCTGGTGGTCTTCCCGCCACCGCCGCTTCTTCTGGCGCTCCCGCTCCTGGGACAGCAGGGCCTGGTGGGGCATGGCCAGCCGTCCCCCACTCCCAGGGACAGCCTCCATGGCAACCTCAGAAGGCGGCCACGTTCCAATTGTGGCAGAGAACCCCAGGACAGCCATGGCTGGCAGGCACTGAGGCGGGAGCCTGGACGGGTCCCTTCACCCATGACAGGCAGTGAGGCCAGGGCCAGTGCCGACCCCACTTGCCAGTGAGGAACAGATCTCTGCAAGGCTGCCAAGCAGGGGTCAGTCTTGTAGGTAGCAGAACCGTATAGAGTCCCCTGCAGCTTGGCTCCAGGGCCACCAGTTCCTGACAAAGCCCATCTGGGCTCCGGAGGAGATGGGCCCTGTCCCCCTCTATGCTAGGGCGGCGACTTTGTGGGGAGTGAGTGGGAACGGGGCTCCCCTCTCCTCTGCCCCGGCTCAGATCCAGGGCCCAGGTCAGGCCTTACTTCCTCAGGAATGCGGTACAGAGACCCCCATCGCCCCCCACCACAGGGACACATGTGGGTGGTGGCCCCAACAGGACCTGTGGCACTCAGGTCTCCCTGTCCCCCATCTCTTGGTGTCCCCGTGAAACACCCTGCCACTCCTCTGTTCTGATGCCTCAAAGCTTGAACATGTACCACCCGGGGCCAGAGCTTTAGGAAGTTCAGACACTGTTTCATCCCATCACCTCTACTCCTTGGTTGTTCTCACCAGCTCTCTCCCCTCCCTGGAGGGTGGGAAGCATGTCCCCTCCATGCCCAGACCAGCCCCAGAGCCCCCCAATCCCCGCCCAAGGCCGTACCTGGGTATAACCTAGAGATGGTGGCCCGTAGTCACTCAGCAGCTGGCGGTACTGGGAGGATGTGGCCATACTGGTGGAGGGCGGGTGGACACTCCCAGCTGTGGAGGAGAAGCAAAGCATCAGGGATCATGTAGTTGTACACAGAGCAGAGACCCCCTGCCTGGGACCCACGACAAACAGCAGCCTTTCGTCTTCATAGGACGGAGACCCTCTCCTGTCCTGTTTGGTGATGGCCGATGCTCACCCCAGATGATAGTAAAAGGGAGCTAACAGGTCACTGCTCTTCATATCCACCATCACGGCAGACATCGCTCATCAATCACAGAACTCCTCCCCATCAGCGCAGTCAGGACTGGTAGCAACGATGAAGTCTACTGCTCTTCTTGGCCTAATCCTTGCTAGTCCCTTCTCTCGGGGTCCCGTTCCCCAGAGATGGATGACCTGGACCCAAATCACTGCCACAAGAGCCCACCTGCTACTGAGGCTGCTCCATATCCTCTCCGCCCAAATCTCTGCCAGGCATACGGTAAGAAGACAGGGCGTTCAGAGCATCTGAGACCTAACCCTGGCCAGAGACTGGTTCACTGGACACGAAGTCAGGAATCTGAAATATATCACAGTCTCTCTGGGGGGTCCTCAGGAGCCTCTCAATCTCCCTGAGCCCCTCCAAAGAGGCGACGGGATTCTGGACAGTCGGATTCTACGCCTGGATGGATCACATCCAAAGAGGGGAGGGCTAAGGCCCCGCTTAGGGACTGCACTCAGACACATCGTCCCTCAGCTGTGGGGGACCACATGGGGACAGGGCCCGGCTAAGAATGGAGTCTCTTGGATGGGGGTGGGGAGTCACCAGCAGGGCATTTCCCGGCTCCAGCTCAGTAGCTGGAAGCCTGCAGACCCATAATGGCGTCCAAGTGGCCATTAGCGGGTAGAGGATGTCCTGCAGAATTACAAACAGCGGTAACCATGGAGAATTTACCTAGCCCTCCTCAGCAGCCGCCCGCCTGCCTCCACGCCCAGTCGAGGAGCAGCTCCCCCTCTGCCTGCCGCCCCCAGAGCCAAACGGTCTCTCATGCACACGGCAGACTACGCAGACTTGGCCCTGGGGATGGACAGCTGGTGCCAGGCTGGCCAAACCGACCAGCTGCTCATCTGGTGTGAGCAGGGGAGGGGGAAAAGGAGGGAGGAGGCTCGGGAGCTCAGGCTGGTGGAGTGGAAGGGCCCTAGGGGAGCCTTGGAGCCCCTCACTGTAAAGACACAGTCTGGCGAGGGTGGGTGTTCCCCTGAGCCACATGGCACGGAAGAGGCTAGCACCCCGACAGCCATCCCTCTGTCCAGGAGCTGGGGACAGCTCGTACCCAAGATGTCTTCCTTGCTTTCTTTCCGGGCCTGTCATGGATCTCACCTCCCCCCACTCCAACCCAGGGCCCAGGTTTAGGATCAAATAGGGAGTGCCCAGCCAGGAACAGGGATTTTGCCAGCCCGAAGTTGGGAGGTGGGCACACCCCTGGGGCACTCTGAGCCACAGACAGCAGGCCTTGAAGTGGGGACGGGAATATACCTGTGCTGCAGGGGCAGACTGGTCAGCATGGGGAGGAACTGGGAACACATCTGTGACCTCCCTCCAAAACAACCTCAGATGTGCAGTGGCCAGAGCACAGGAACGGAGCAGGGTGGGTGCCCCCCCAAGCACCCCTCACCACAGCGGCCAGACCCCAATTCCCTGCACCTTGTGATGAGGGCAGTGAATGTGGTCTTTGCAGCCCCAGACCTGGGTTCCAGTCCTGACCACTCCAAGATATCACACCTCTCTGGAAGGCCAGGCTGCTGAATGCAAGACCAGGGGAGGAGTATGCAGCCCTGCACAGCACCAAAGTGTCTGGGAGATTCCAGTTCCTAGGCAGGAGGGGAGCAGGACTCAGGAGTGCATTCCCTGCACCATCCTTAGCCCTCACCCCTTGTTGCTTGTCATGGTTTCTTGCCTCCCTGCCTCCCAGTCCCATCTGAGCTCCTACAGACAAGGGCGTGGACCAGAAGCCGGTCTGGCTGTGCCACTCCTGGCTGTGTGACCTTGGATGAGGCCCTTCCCTCTCTGGGCCTCAGTTTCTCTATCTGTTTGGGGCAATGATTCCCAACACAATGTCTAAAGGCCTACATCCCACTCTTCCATGGGGCAAGGGTTAGGTCTTGCGAGGCCAAGGGAGAGGGAGGAGAAATCTCCTGGTTTGGGTCGGGTAATAGCTCGGGGCTTGCCTTTCCCATCACCATGTGATGTGGTAGGTGACCCCAATTCTGTGTCAGTGCCAGTCCCTTACTCTTTGTTGAAAAGGCAGGGGGAGATGTGGCCCTGGAGAGAGATGGCAGAAGGGCCCTGAGTTCTACTCATGCCCACGCACTTCGGCAGACACAGGGAGGGCCAGAGCATGAGGCTGCAGGAGGCCAGGGAGAAAACCAGACTGGGCGTGAGCACGACAGTCTCTGAGCATCACAGACAATGCACGCAGTGTGCAGGGACCAGGGAGGGCCCGAGCCGAGGGAGGGATTGGCAGAGGCCAGCAGCTCCTGGGGCCAGGCGCAGCTCCCCGCCCCCACGCCAGACAAAGAGCGGCCTGGGCCTGGGGAGCTGGCGGCCTTCCCGCCACTTGGGGCGCCTGGGGGGGGGTGCTCTCCGGCGGGGAGGCGGGGGCTTTGTCTAACTCCGCCACTGCCACCGCCGGCCAGGCCGCGGCTTGGCAACCCGCGAGCAGGAGGCAGGGCTGGAGGGCGTGAGGGATGATGACAAGGAAGCCTGAGGAGCGGCAGCGAGAGTCCATCTTGGATGCAAATGGCAGGGGGAGATTGGGGCTTTCTAAAGGGTCCGTGGGGAGGGGCACAGCCCCCCTCCAAAAAAACCACCAGCTTCTGGGGACCTCAGCAGTACTCCTGGAAATCACCAAAGGAGAAAACCCATGCGCAGGTGCCAGCCAGCCCAGAACAGGGCTTCAGGGGTCCTGAGTGGGTGCCCCTGTCACTTGACCCCAATCCCCAAAGGTCCCAGCGTAGGGCACCTGCCTCCACTATACCAGGCCAGGCCTGAGATTTCCAGCGTGTCCAGGCTGGCGGGGAGACCTTCCACTCTGCCCGCCTCAGAGACAGGTGAAGCAGGCAAGGAGAAATCCTACCTGGGCCGCAAAGTCTGCCTCTCTGTAAGGTCTGCAGACCCCAAAGGAGGTGGTGAGAACACGTGAGAAAATAGTGGCCGTGTGTTCCTGGCACGCTGATCCCAAATTTAACGAATTCAACTATACCCTCACCGGCACCCTGAATCTTAACTCTTTCCAACCCCCAAATCTGTGTCCCAGTAAGTTAAAATACATACATTATATATATATATATATATATATATATATATATTTTTTTTTTTTTTTTTTTTTTTTTTTTTTCCCTGGGTCCCTCTTCAGATTTTTGGGATCATGGAGTCAACGTTTGGAGACAAGGCCCAAAACTTGCGGCCAACCGCCAACGTGGCATTTCTGACCAGCAAGGCCAACCCCCTCCCCCACAAGGCCTCTCCCCCCTCCCCCCTACCCCCTCCCCCCTCCAACGCGCTGGCTTTCTGGAAGCCTATTTCCAGCGCAGGGTCTGAAGGAGAAAGAGCCGGGCATGGGGCGACGCGGGTCCCGCCTAACGTCGCCGTCTTGCGTCCCCCCACGCAGGCCTCCCCGATCCTGGGGCAAGCCCTGCGCACGGGCTGAAGCTGGCTGACAACTTCGGGAGGAGTTTCCTGGGCTCGCCCGGCTCTAGCCCCGGAAAGGGAGAGGACGCCCCTGCAGCCCGGAGCCGCGGGGGCTCCCAAGCCCGGAAGTGGGGGCCCCGAGGCGCGGGGTCTGGGCTGGAACGCGCCCGCCACTGTCCGCGGGCGCTCAGAGCCCCCGGCGCCCTCAACTTCTGTCAGTCGGCGCGCGCCGAGGACCTCGGGCGGGCGGCGCTCGGGCCCGCGGCTGCGGCTGCGGCTGCGGCTGAGGCTGTGGCGCGCAGCCCGAGCCCCCGCTGGCGACCGGGTCCCCCGCAGGCGCTGACCCCGGCGGCCCCGCGCCCTCAGGGCGCCCGCGGCCCGCTGCCCGCCCGCTCGCCGCCCGCTCGCCGCCCCGCCCCCGCCCCCGCCGGCCCCCGCCCGGCCCGGCCCGGCTCGCACGCCCCCGGCGCCCGCCCCCCCGCCCGCGCCCGCGCCCCGCGCCCCAAGGGCGCCCCCGCGCCCCGCGCCCCGCGCCCCGCGCCCCGCTCGCGGCGTGGCCCGGCTGCTCCCGACTCCCGCCGGCAGGGGCCCTCGCCGAGCCGCCCAAAGCCGGAGGAACAGGCAGAGAAAAGCCTCCCCCGCCCTCGCCCGCCGCGCTCCCCGCGATCCCTCGGCCGCCGGCGTGGGGGGCACCCGGCGCGCGCCCGCCCGCGCCCCCGGCCCCCGCCGAGCCCCGCCGCCGCGGCCCCGGGCGCCCCCGCGAACTTTGGCGGCGCGGGCGCCGGAATCATGGCGGCGGCAGCCGCGCTGCCCCGGGCCGGGACCCGCCGCCCGGCGCCCCCGGCCACCGCGGGCCCCCGAGCGCCGGGCCGGGCCGGGCCGGCCCCCAACTTGGCGGCACTTGGGGCGCGGCGCGCGCGGGCCGCGGGGCGCACTCACTCACCGGCGCTGAGGGAGGCGGCGGGCATGTGCGCGGCCAAGTTCGGTTTGTAAGACATCCCCGCGAGCGGCGGGGCGCGCAGGGGCGCCGGGGCCAGGCCCGCGGGGGCGGGGGCGGCGGCGGCGGCGGCGGCGGCGAGGCGAGGCGAGGCGGCGGCGGGGGCGGGGGCGGGGGCGGCGAGGCGGCGGCGAGGCCGGGCGGCGGCGAGGCGGCCCCGGCGTCCCGGCGCCCGTCCGTGCTCCCGCCGCGCTCCCGCGCACTTTTTGTTGTTGACGGTCGGGCCGCACCGGCAAATATGGCCGTCCCTCACCCTGACACCCGCCGCAGTATATCACCCATACATCGGGCGGGCGCAGGGGCGGCCGCAAACTTTGAGCGGAGCCAGCGGGGCCGGCCCGGGCCGGGAGGGGGCGGCCCGGCGTCAGGGGGCGGCTCCGCCCGCGGCCGCGCCCCGCGCCTCGGGCCGCGCTCGGCGCCCGCAACTTGGCAAAGTTTGGGGGGCTGGGTCCCGGCGGCGCCGCGGCCCTCGGGGGGCCCTTTCTGCTCCGGGGCTGCGCGCCCGCGGATTCGCTGTCTCGCCGCTTCGCCTCCTTCCTCCGTCTCCCTCCTCTTAATGGCTAGGTAGGGTTTCAGGATTGCTTCCCTTTCCCCCGGGACTGTGGGGGCAGGGATGGAAAAGTACCTGGAGAAAATGGTGGCGACTGGCATTTTTAAGCGCGGAGATCCTTCCAGATGCCGAGGTCTGGCCAGCCCCCAGAATGAGAACAGCCAGTGCTCGGCACTGATTTCGAGTAAAGGTCGTGTCCCTGTCTGGATTAAGCGGGTTCTGCTGTTGTTGTTGTTGTTGTTGTTGTTGTGTTGTGGGTTTTGGGGTTTTTTTTGTTTTGTTTTGTTTTGTTTTTTGGCCCCTCGGGGGCCTACGAGGCTCCTTGGAGATTTACAAAAGCCAAAGGCCTCTTCCCGGGAAAATTAATTCACTCTTGTATCCACAGAACTCTACCTCTTAACTCATCCAGATATGCAAGAAGCTACTACTTCGTGCCTGGCACCCGTACCCGTCCAGGCGCCAAGGATAGGAGAATGAACTTGACCAAGTTTCTACTCTCCTGATGTTTGCATTACGATTTTTTTAAAGAAGGTTTTATGTATTCATGAGAGTCTCGGAGAGGCAGAGACACAGGCAGAGAGAGAAGCAAGCAGGCTCCCAGCTGCCAGCGCGGGATGCAGGACTCCATCCCAGGACTCTGGGATCACCACCTGAGCAGAAGGCAGATGCTCAACCACTGAGCCACCCAGGTATTACCCCCCCACCCCCCGCCCCCTGCCTTTTTTAAAGATTTTATTTATTTGAGAGAGAGCACAAGTGTGGGGGGGGGGGAGCAGAGGGAGAGTGACAGGCAGACTGCTGAGTGCAGAGCTCAATGTGGAGCTCTGTCTCACAACCCTGAAATCATGGCCTGAGTGGAAACCAAGAGTTGGCCACTCAACGGGCTGAGCCATCCCAATGCCTAGCATTACAATTTTCTATGCTCCTTCCACCCCCACCCCTCCCGCCCATCCTCAGGTCTGACTGAGACATATCAGCAAATATAGGACGTTGATTAGATCACTAAGCTTTTGAAGGTAACTTTTCTTGGAGTTCCACTTAAATAGTAAAGCTTGTCAAAATACAAAAGATATGGGGGATCCCTGGGTGGCTCAGCAGTTTGGCACCTGCCTTCGGCCCAGGGCGTGATCCCGGGGTGCGGGGATCAAGTCCCACATTGGGCTCCCTGCGTGGACCCCGATTCTCCCTCTGCCTGTGTCTCTGCCTCTCATTCTCTCTGTCTCTCATGAATAAATAAAATAGAATAAAGGAAGTACAGGGGATAAACCCCTTCCCAGCTTAAGCAGAACTACCAATGATCATCTTTAGGCTTGCTCAGCCAAGGATGCCAGTAAAATTTTATTTTGTGAATGAATTAATACCAAGCTCTCCTACAATGCCCCAGGGGCTCAAATACTCTAGAGTCGCATTGTCCAATAGAAATATAAAAGTGAGCCCTATACATAATTTTAGATTTTTTAGTAGTTTAGAAAGTAAAAAACTGGCAAAATCGATCTATTTAATACAGTATATCAACAGTATGATTTCAATATATAATGAACAGAAAGAAATTGAGATACTTTATATTCTTTTCACCCTACAGTCTTCAAAGCCAAGTGTGCATTGCACACTCACTCACAGCACATCTTAATTCAGACTAGCCACTTACCAAGTATGCAGTAGCCCCAAGAGCTAGTGGTTTTCCTATTGGACAGCGTAGGACTAGAAGCTGCAAGCAGAGAGCTCATAAGGCAGACATACCTAACTGTGGCTCCACCCATTAGCTATTTGCCTGGACCTGGGTTTCCTTGATGCAACCATCAGAATCTCAGCGACCTGCCCCATACCTCCTACAAATGGTCTGGGCTGTTGTCTTTGGATACTGATTTTTTTAAGATTATTTATTTATTCATGAGAGACACACACAGAGAGAGGCAGAGACACAGTCAGGGGGAGAAGCAGGCTCCACGCAGGGAGCCCGACGTGGGACTCTATCCAGGGTCTCCAGGATCACGCCCTGGGCTGCAGGCGGCGCTAAACCGCTGGGCCACCCGGGCTGCCCTAAAATGTGCACTTTTGAAATATGCAGTTACTCCTAGCTTTAGGCAACTGCTACTCTACATTCTGTCTATGAATTTACCTATTCTGGGATGCCTGGGTGGCCCAGGGGTTGAGCGCCTGCCTTCATGCCTAAAGTGTGATCCTGGAGTTCCAGGATTGGATCGAGTCGATATATATACATATCTAGCTCGATCCCGGGACTCCAGGATCACACCCTGGGCATGAAGGCAGAGGCTCAACTGCTGGGCCACCGAGGCATCTCTCATATAATAGAATTAAACAGTATGTGAACTTTTGTGCCTGGCTTCTTTCACTTAGCATGTTTTCGGGGCTCATCCATGCCATAATACGTATCAGTACTTTGTTCCTTTTCGTGGCTGAATAATATTCCATTGTATGGATAGACTACATTTTATTTATCCATCCACCCTCTGAGGGACACCTGGGTTATTTCCACTTTTTGGCTATTGTGAATAGTACTGCTATGAACATGGGTGTGCAAGTTTTTTTTTTAATTTTTTTTTATTTATTTATTTATGATAGGCACACAGTGAGAGAGAGAGAGAGGCAGAGACACAGGCAGAGGGAGAAGCAGGCTCCACGCACCGGGAGCCCGACGTGGGATTCGATCCTGGGTCTCCAGGATCGCGCCCTGGGCCAAAGGCAGGCGCCAAACCGCTGCGCCACCCAGGGATCCCAGTGTGCATGTTTTTAATGTGAACATATTTTTAATCCTTTGGGATCTATACCCAGGAATTGAATTGCTAGGGCATATAGTAACTCTGTTTTCACTTTTTGGGAAACAAACTGCTTTCCTTTGTGGCTGTACCATTTTACATTCCCACTGGTGATGTAAAAATGTTCCAATTTCTCCACATCGTCACCAACATTTTTATTACATATTTTTTGTTGTTTGTCTGTTTGGGGAATTGGCATCCTAGTGGATGTGAATTGATATCTCATGGTTTTGAATTGCATTTCCCTAATAAATAGTGATGTTCAGCACCTTCCCATGTGTTTCCTAGTCATTTGCAGATCTTTGGAGGTATATCTATTCTGATTCTTTGGCCATTTTTTATGTTCTTTTTTTTATTTTTATTTTTATTTTTTAAAAGACTTTATCTATTCATGCGATACAGAGAGAGAAAGAGAGAGAGGCAGAGGGAGAAGCAGGCTCCATGCAGGGAGCCCGACGTGGGACTCGATCCCAGGACTCCAGAATCATGCCCTGGGCTGAAGACAGGCGCTAAACTGCTGAGCCACCCAGGATCCCCTGTTCTTTTTTTTAAAGATTTTATTTTTAGGTGATCTTTATACCCCAACCTGGGGCTCAAACTTACAACCCCAAGATCAAGAGCCACATGCTCCACAGACTGAGCCAGCCAAGTACCCTAGTCCATATTTCAATTGAGATTTCTTTTTCTTAAGTTGTAAGAATTTTTTTTAAGATTTTATTTATTTATTCATGAGAGACATACAGAAAGAAGCCAGAGGCAGAGGGAGAAGCAAGCTCCCGGCGGGGAGGCCTATGTGGGACTCCATCCGAGGACCCCAGGATCACATCCTGAGCCAAAAGTAGACGCTGAGCCACCCAGGCATCACTGTATGTGGTTTCTTTAGGATTTTCTGTATATAGTGGTCCCTGGGTGGCTCAGTCAGTAGAGCAAACTCTTGATCTCAGGTCCTAATTTCAACCCCCATGTTGGGCCTGGAACCTACTTTAAAAAATGGGGTGCTTGGGTGGCACAGTTGGTTGAGCATCTGACTCTCGGTCTCACTCAAGTCATGATCGCAAGATTGTGAGATTGAGCCTCATGTCAGACTCTGCTTAGCGCAGAGTCAGCTTAGGATTCTCTCTCTGCCCCTCCCACCTCCACTCCCCGACTGTGCTCACTCGCTTGCTCACTCTCTAAAATAAGCAAAATCAGGGATACCTGGGTGGCTCAGTGGTTGAGCGTCTGCCTTGGGCTCAGGGCGTGATCCTGGATTCTGTGATCCAGTCCCATATCAGGCTCCCTGCAGGGAACCTGCTTCTCCCTCTGCCTATGTCTCTGCCTCTCTCTGTACATCTCTCATGAATAAGTAAATAAAATCTTTTAAAAAAATAAGTAAAATCTTCATTTTTAAAGTTTATTTATTTATTTAATTATTTATTTATTTGACGGAGAGTGAGCACAAGCAGGCAGAGCAGCAGGGAGAGGGAGAAGCAGGCTCCTCATTGAGCAGAGACCCCAATGCAGGGCTCTATCCCAGGACCCTAAACCTGGGGACCACGTATCTAGACAAAGCCACATACCTAACCAACTGAGCCACCCAGGCACTCCTAAATAAAATCTTTTTTTTTTTAAAAAAAGACTTTGTTATATAAGATCATGTCATCTGTAAAGAGTTTTACTTCTTCCTTTCCAAATAGGATGTCTTTTATTTCCGTTTCTTGCCTAATTGCCGTGACTAGAACCTCAAGGACAATTTGGGTAGAGGTGGTGAGAGCAGACATCCTTGTCTTGTTCATGATTGAGGGGTAAAGATTTCAGTGTCTCACCATTAAGCATGATGTTCACTTTGGGCTTTTCATAGATGCCCTTTATCAAGAGGAGGACTTTCCCATCTACTACTAGTTTGTTCTGGAGTGTTTTTATCATGAGAGTTTGGATTTTATCAAATGTTTTTTCTGCATCTAGTGAGAATATCATGTGGGATTTTCCCTCCTTCTATTCGTTTTTTAAAAATATTTTATTTATTTATTCATGAGAGACACACAGAGAGAGGCAGAGACATAGGCAGAGGGAGAAGCAAGGTCCTTGTGAAAGCCGGATGCGGGACTTGATCCCTGGACTCAGGATCAAGCCCTGAGCCAAAGGCAGATGCTCAACCACTGAGCCACCCAGGCGTCCCTCCCCCCTTCTATTTAACAAGTATTTGTTTAGGGATCCCTGGGTGGCGCAGCGGTTTGGCGCCTGCCTTTGGCCCAGGGCGGGATCCTGGAGACCCGGGATTGAATCCCACGTCGGGCTCCCGATGCAGGGAGCCTGCTTCTCCCTCTGCCTGTGTCTCTGCCTCTCTGTCTCTGTGACTATCATAAATTAAAATAAAAATAAAAAAATTAAAAAAACAAATATTTGTTTAGAGTCTTCTAAGTGTCAGACAGTATTCTAGGGTCAGCAAAGGAAGACAATCCCCATGCTCTCATGAAACTTACTGTTTTAGATATGGGAACCACATTTAGCTATCTATCGCCCTTTACTCCACTACATCGGAGTCATTACCTCACTCCTCACCTCCTACTATTTTTTTTTTTAAGATTTTTTTTATTTGGGGATCCCTGGGTGGCACAGCGGTTTGGCGCCTGCCTTTGGCCCCGGGAGCGATCCTGGAGACCCAGGATCGAATCCCACATCGGGCTCCCGGTGCCTGGAGCCTGCTTCTCCCTCTGCCTATGTCTCTGCACCTCTCTCTCTCTCTCTCTCTCTCTCTCTCTCTCCCTGACTATCATAAATAAAAAAAATTTTAAAAAAAGATTTTATTTATTTATTCATGACAGAGAGAGCCACCTGGGCTGCCCTCCTATTATTTCTTATTCTTCAGGCCAGACTGGATTGTGAGCCTGGTTCTTGTTCATCCCCACACCTAAGACTTAATTACACTAAACTTGCCCTTGTACTCCAGTTGGCAAACTCCTGCTCATCCATCAAAACCAAGTTCAGCTATCCCCACCTCAGAGAAGTCTTCCCTGGAAGGGTGCCCTCTATTAATGCGTACTATGATTGCATTTAATCGGGTCTGTCTCCATCATAAGTCTGAGCTTCCCGAAGAAAAGAACTGCATCCTTGAATGTTCTAGTTGGGCACACTGAACATTTAATAAATGGCTTCAACGTGGGCCTAGAAATGAGACAAAGTGTGATCAGTTCCCCTCTGCAGGAAGGGCTCCAGCTCATATCTTTCTTTTTTTTTCTTTTTCTTATCTTTCTTTTTGCTCACAGCTCACTTCCCATAACAGAGGTGTTAGTGTCCTCAGGCTCCCATAAACTACCAGGAATTTGTTGGCTTAAAACAACAGAAATTTATTGTCTTACAGTTCTGGAGGCCAGAAACCTGAAATGAAGGTGTTGGCAGGCCCATGCTCCCTCCAAGGCTCTAGGGAAGAATCCTCTGGTCTCCCAGCTGCTGGCAGCTCCAAGTGTCTCTGGCTTGTGGCCGCATCACTCTGATACCTGTCTTCATACGGCCTTCCTACTTGTCTTCTCCTCTTCTAATAACACTTGGCATTGTAGGATGATCTCATTTTGAGATCCTTAATTACCTCTGCAAAGACTTTCCCCCTCCAGAAGGTCACATTTAATGATTCCAGGTAGACTTATCTTTTAGGTCACCATTCAACCCACTACAACAGGCTTCTACAAGGATCTAGATTTTTCCCTTTTTCACTCTTTTTTTTAAGATTTTATTTATTTCTTTATTCATTCATAGAGACACAGAGAGAGAGGCAGAGACACAGGCAGAGGGAGAAGCAGGCTCCATGCAGGGAGCCTGATGTAGGACTCGATCCAGGGTCTCCAGGATCACACCCTGGGCTGCAGGCAGCGCTAAACCGCTGTACCACCGGGGCTGCCCCCCCCCCTTTTTTTAAAGGACAGCTGCTTTTTTTTTTTTAAGGTTTTATTTATTTATTCATAGAGACACACACACAGAGAGAGAGAGAGGCAGAGACACAGGCAGAGGGAGAAGCAGGCTCCATGCAGGGAGCCCGACGTGGGACTCGATCCCTGGTCTCCAGGATCACACCCCAGGCTGCAGGCGGCTCTAAACTACTGTTCCACGGGGCTGCCCTTTTTTAAAGATTTTATTTATTTATTCATGAAAGACAGAGGGACAGAGAGAGGCAGAGACACAGGCAGAGGCTCCCTGAATGGAGCCTGATGCGGGACTTGATCCCAGGACTCCAGGATCAGGCCCTGGGCTGAAGGTGGTGCTAAACCACTGAGCCACCCGGGCTGCCCTTCTCTCTTCCTTCTGTGACTGAGTTAAAACCCCTGGAAGGGAAACAAACATTCCTAGTGACTCCACTAAGAAAATGTCTGTGATGCAACTCAAATAAGCATCTTTAAGGGAAAAAAAAAAAGATTTACTTATTTGAAAAAGAGACAGTGAGCAGGAGGAGGGGCAAAGGGAAAGGGAGAGAGAGAGAGAATCCCCAAGCAGACTCTACTGAGTGCATAGCCTGACACAGGGCCGTATCCCAGGACTGTGAAATTGTGACTAGAGCCGAAACCAAAAGTCATACTCTCAACCGAATGAACCACCCATGCACCCCAAATAAGCACTTTTTAATAAGTGGTTTTAGAATGATCTAGAATGAGGAATGCCTGGATGGTTCAGTGATTGAGCATCTGCCTTCAGCTCAGGGCGTGATTCCGGTATCCAGGGATCGAGTCCCACATCGGGCTCCCCCCTGCATGGAGCCTGCTTCTCCCTCTGCCTATGTCTCTGCCTCTCTGTTTCTCATGAATAAATAAATAAAATCTTAAAAAAAGAAAAAGAATGATTTAGAATCGTTCCTTATTAGTTTATTGGGCATTTCACAGATTGGCTTGCCAGGGAGGACAGCAGATGAACCGAGGAGACCAGAGAGCCTGATAGAAAAGGTTAGCATTAGATCAGGAGACAAAGTTTTAGCTCTGGATCCACCATATGCTTCTCCGTAAGCTTCAGACAGCTTGTTTAACCTCCGTGGGCCTTGGTCTCATCTGCAAGATTAGGGATGTTTGATGGGACAGGGCTCTAAAAATTTTGGAAACTAATATCCTAAGAAGGCAGAGAGACAACACACAGGCCATCTTCTCTAATTTTCATCAGCCCAGAAAGGCCTTTGCACTGTTTTGGAACCATTTCCATCAGTCTGCTCAAAGTGGGGTGCACCTGACCCAGGTGAAAGTAGGGGTACTCATAGGACTGGAGGAATATTAGAAATTCTATTTATGTGGGATTTACTGTGTACATATTATAAAAACAGCACCGGTGAGCCTGGGTGGCTCAGTCTGTTGAGCGTCTGCCTTTGGCTCAGGTCGTGATCCTGGAGTCCTGAGATCGAGCCCCACATCAGGATCTCCGCTCAGGGACGCCTGGGTAGCTCAGCGATTGAGCATATGCCTTCGGCTCAGG